GGGGTTGTTTGGGCTCACTTGGGGGTGTTCTGGGGTAGTCCCTATGGAAGGGGAGGTGAGGGGAGCCTGGCTGCTGTGGCTGCCCCAGCTGAGGGACCCCTTGGGGCTGCTGGTGCCTCCATGGGGGGGTCCGACCCCCTTGCCCTGGCACCTCGGGGTCACCCCGCAACACCCGCCTGGGCCCCACTGGGGTTGAGCCTCCGCGACTCCTCCCTGGGCTTTGGCAACCGCCTTGGCTTCCTGGCACCTCCATTGCTCCTCCTCTCGTCCCCCACCTGCGGGGCCTGGTCCCGGCTCCATCCCATGGGGCAGCACCCAGGGATCGCCGCGGTCCTTGGGGCACCGGGCCCCTACTCGGGGTGGTGGCGGCCGGGTTTGGCCTCCCGGAGGAAGCTGCTCCCCCGCCACGCGGAACATGGCTGCGCTGCGCCCCGGATGTGTGGGGATGGACGGCGCGGCCGCAGGCTCGGTGCAGCCCCGCGGCTGCCTCCAGCACCGGGTCTGGTGTCCCCGTGTCCTCACATGGCCGCGTCCCCAGGTCACCACATCCCTCACACCTCAGATCCCTGCGTGCCCAGGTCCCCATGTCCCAACATGCCCATGTTCCTGCACTCCGTGTCCCCACATCCCTTTGTCCCCGTGTGCCCGGGTCCCTTTGTCCCCACATCTCCCATATCCCCCCCCTCCCGGGCCGCTGCAGGCAGCGCTGGCTCCCGGTGCTCGGGATGTGCTCCCGGTGCTCGGGATGCGCTCCCGGTCCGGGGCGGGGGGGGAAGTCCCTGCGCTGCGCTGCGCTGCCAGCAGGAGGCGCCACGGGCGGGGCGGATAAAGGCGGCAGCGCGGTGCCGGTGGTGCCCGGTGCAGCGGCATGGCCCGGAGCGCGCTGCGCCTGCTGCTCTGCTGCGCCGCTGCCCTGCTGGCCGCAGGTACCGGGGATGGGGGTCCCGGTGGGGGCTGTGTGCGCCGGTGGCACCGGGGGCGGGGGCTCCGTGTTCCTGCAGCACTGGGGAGGGACAAGAATGGGGTTACTGGGGGGTCCTGCCCTGCTCGGTGGGGCCGCATCCAGCCCTGCGGAGGTGTCCATGGCACCGGGGGCACGGGGGGGGGAGGGCGTTGCACGCACACCCCGGGGGTCCCAGGAGCCCCTTTTGGGGACTGGTCACCTGTGGCTGGCAGCACCCAGGGCAGGATGCGGCTCCGGTGCTGCCAAACCGGCTCACGGGGGTGGGGATGCTCCAGTACCCCCCTGGGGGCTCTGGTGCCTGTGCTGCTGTGGGCCCCCTGTTTCCAGCCTGGACCCCCAGCATCCCTGCTGTACCCTGAGGTGCCTCTTTGCACTTATCCCAGCTCAGAAGCTGCCCCCCAACGCTGAGCGCTTGGCGATGGCATTTGCTGCCATGGCAGCGCATGGGAATGGCCCATCCGGGTGGGTCTGGTGGCTGTGGGGACCCCCAGCACCGGGCACGCTGGGTGCTGGCTGTGCCGTGGGGCCAGGCTGGCCCTGCTCCTCCCCTTGTGCAAACAGGGTAAGGCAGGTAAAAGCACTGCCCAGCAAACGCTGCCATGTCCCACGTGGCCACAGCTCCGATGTCTCCAGTGTGTGCCACAGGGGCCCGGCTGGCACATGTCCCTGTGCCATGGCACATGCCTACCACTGCCACAGGTTTGTCCCCAGCGGCGCTGTGCCTGTGCCAGGATGGCTTGGGACAAGGCTCTTCCTTACCCGGGGTTTCTGGGATCTGCTATTGGCCAAATCCCGGTTTTCTGGTCCCCTCTGTGTCCTTGCTGACCAGGTCTCTCCTCCATGCTCTAGATACAGCCCATGGCCACGGTACCGGTTCAGAGACAGGAGTGTCACCGTCCCCATCCAGTTCAGTCACAGCCACCAGCCTGGGGACACCCGATGTGTCTCCATCTGGCTCTGACACGGGGACGGCCGATGTGTCTCCAACCAGCAAAGCAGCAGCATCTACACCACCTCCTCCCAACCCAGGCACCACAGTGTCCCCATCCAGCACACCGGCCTCAATGGTGCTTAAGGCACCTTTTTCCGACACAGCTGCAATGTCAGAGCCAGCAGCACCAACATCTTCATCCCACCCAGCCACAGCATCGTCTCCCTCTGGGATAACGGGATCACCAGGAGCTCTGACAAACCCATCCAACACAACCACAGCACCGTCTCCATCCAGGACACCGGGATTGGTGGAAGCAACGTCTCAATCCAGCACGGCCATGGCACCATCTCCATCCAGGACACCGGGCTCGGTGGAAGCAACATCTCCATCGAGTGTGACCACGGCACCGTCTCCATCCCCCCCAGCCGTGCCCAGCTCTGCGGCCACAGGACATCCCCCCAGCTCCACGGCAGCACCAGCCCCATCCTCACCTGGGTCCTCCAAGCCCCCTCCTGCTCCCAGCTCACCCACAGTGAGCCCCGGTCCCACCAGCACCAGAATGGCACCAGCCATGGGCACCAGCGCCGTGGTTGGCAGCTCCGGTGAGAGCCAGGCCGGGGGGGGCACTGTGCAGGCAGGGAACCCCCAGACCTGTGCCCATGGGCACAGCAGCAGCCCTGGGACCCCCTAAACTCCCTGCTCACCATGGGGCAGGGGGGCTCAGGGGTGCTGGTCCCTGGGGGAGCCCAGAGCCCCCCTGGGCTGCCCCATCCTCCTCGGACCCTATCCCTAACCCTGGAGGTGATGTGGGAGCCGGGTTCTGGGGCTGTGAGGGGTGGGACCAGTGCTGGTAGTGGGAGCTGGAGCCAGTTCTGAGCTCCTCTCACCCCAAGACCCCCTGTGGTGCTTGGGCACAAGGCTTGGCAATGCTATGGGGGGTAACGGGGTGCCCATTTCCACCCCACAGCGCAGCCCCCCACCAAACCCAGCCCTGCCGTGGTCACCATCATCTGCCTCTTCATCTGCCTGCTGGTGGGGGGCGCAGCGGTGCTGCTGGTGCGGCTGTCCCGGCGCAGGACCCCCCGATTCCAACACTTGGACGAGGTGCCCATGGTGCGGGAGGGACCGGGGGGGGGGGGGGCAGTGGGGGCCGTGCTACGGGCACTCACCCCACTGTTTGTCTCTCTTTCCTAGAGCAACCCAGGTGACCCCCCCGCTGCTCAATAAAGAAGCTGCTGCCTTGGCTCTGGTTTCCCCTCTGCTCTGCTCCATCCCCAGGGACAAAGCCCGGTCCCGGGGGGAGGCCTCGACCGCTTTTGGGGTTCCCCCCCCCCAGGCTGAAGCCCACGGGGTGGGTGCGGTGCTGCGCTGGGTGCTGGGGGCCACGCAGCCCCCCCCCCCGGGCGCGGTGGGATGGGATGGGAGGGAGCGCGCGGCCAGGCACGCACATCGCCTTCCTTCTGCTCCGCTGCACTCGGCGGGGCCGCGGCGAGGACCGGGCGCCGGTAAGGGGCTGCGGGCGAGGGGCCGGGGGCAGGCGGCAGGGGGGGACCCTCACACCGGGACCCGGCATCCCCTGGGTTTGGGCTGAGGGTGCTGCGGGTGCTGGTCAGGGCTTGGGGGGCTCAGTACTACGGGGCGGGGGGCGGTGTCCATAAGTCAACCCCGGTGCGCCCCGGTTCCGCACAGACAGCGGGTAACGGGTGCCCGTGGCTGATTGTTAACGAGGCACCAGCGGGTCCATGGCTTCGGTGGGTGCCGCAGAACGGAGGCTACCCCCTGGCCTCGGCCCGACGGCCCCCGACGGCCCTTGGGGGCACCTGAAACCCCAAGCGGGGCCCGAGCTCGGGCAGTGGCCGAGCGCCGGTGCCCACAAATCACGGGCAGGAGGAACCCGCGGGTGTCCCGGTCCCAGCCGGGTCCCGCCGCCGACACCCCCCCCCCCCCCCGCCCCACCGGCGGCGGCCGCTCCCTGAGCTCCCCCCTCCTCAGGGACCGCGATGCGACGGAGCCGGACGGCGCTGCCCTTCCTCGGCGCGGAGGTGAGACCGGGACCGAAACCGGGACCGGGGGGAAGGGGGTGTCCCCGGTACGAGCGTCCCAGCGCCGGGCCCCCGGGGAGCAATAACCGGGCCGGCGGCGCTCAGCGGAGTTAATTATCCCCTTAATGGGCGGTTAATTATTATTCACCTCCGTAACTGCGCGCCGGCTCCGGGGGGGTTTCAGGCGGGGTCTCATGGGGGGGGGGGGGGTGGTCCCCTCCATTGGCGACAGTGGCGGGGGGGGGGGGGATGTCTCTGCGGCTCCGTGCACTGCGGGCATCGCTGCCGGTGCACCGGCAGTGCCCCCACCCCCGGTAACCGCGGGGTGCAGCGCGGCACCGTGCCCGGCAGGGGGCACCCGCGTGCTACCGGCGCCCGGTAACGGCGGCGTGGAGGGAGGCCACGGGGCAGGGACCCCCGTTCCGCGGAGGGGGGACACACACGGACAGCGGGTACCGGGACCCGCGTCCCTCACCGCTGCCCTGCTTCTCCACAGCGCTGCCGCGACGCCGCCGATGCCGCCCCGTCGGGAGCGGCGCTGGGCGCCGTCCGCCGGCGGTTCTCCGGGAGCCCGTTGCTGCCGCCGTTGGGCTGCCGCTTGGCGGACGCGGCCCGCGGCCCCCAGCCCGAGGGCTCCCGGGTGGTTTTCACCATCGAGGAGAGCGGCCCCAGCAGCGGCGACGAGTCCGAACCCCCCCGGTAAGAGCGGAACGGGGCGGGGTGTGTGGGGGGGGGTGTTTGCTTGCCCCGGTGGCACCGGGATGGGGTTACCGGGCAGGGCGCTGCCGTCGGTGCCGCTCCCGGTTTCAGCACCGGCGGGCGGACAGCGGCACCGGGGCACCGGCACCGGCAGAGAGCCCGGTGCCAGCTGCCGGCATAGGACAGACCCTGCCATTGCCGTCCCTGCTGCTCCGGCCCCGATCTGTCCCGATCGCCTCCATCCCTGTCCCCATTCCCATCCCCTCCGTCTCCATCTGCCCCATCCCCTTTACCCCACCACCCATCCCTACCCTCATCCCCTGTCCTAGTGCTTTCCATCCCTGTCTGTGTTACAGTCCCCTCCATCCCCATCCCAGCTGTCTCCATCACCCATCCCTGTCCCCATCCCCTGTCCTAGTGCTTTCCATCCCTGTCTGTGTTACAGTCCCCTCCATCCCCATCCCAGCTGTCTCCATCACCCATCCCTGTCCCCATCCCTGTCCTCAACCCCTCTCTCCGTTCCCCCCTTCCCTGTTCCCATCCCGTGTCCCAGCCGGCTGCCAGCCTGCCCGGGGGTGACCTTGGTCCCTGCCCTCCCGCTGTGGCTCCGGCCCCGCTGCAGGGTTATTTTTGGGCCGTTCCCCTCCTCCGTGCCCGTCCCAGCCCGGCTTGTGGGGACAGCACGGGGCTGGCACAGCCGGCGGACGGGGCTCCGGTGTCACTCGCCGCAGACACGTGTGCGATGGGGACAGCCGAGCCCGGAGGGGACAGGGACTGGGTGTCCTGGGGACGGGCACTGGTTGTCCTGATGTGCCAGGGGCTGGGAGGGCAGCTCTGCCCCCGGCCCCCTGCCCTGATGTCCCCATGATCTCTGGGGATCCTTCCACCCCTATCCCGTGGTTTTCGGGGTCCCTGCCGTGCTGTTATCAGGGGAGGAAGGGGGGGGGGGGGGGGGCGTTGCCGTCCCTCCTGAGTCCCTGCCAGCTGCTGGATATTTTTGTGTCCGTCGGGAACAGCCGGGATCTATCCAGCGGGGCCGGCCTCATCCTGCTGCTCCCTGTCTCAGAACGGGGCTCAGCAGGCATCGAGGCGCTCCTGGCTCCCACAGCGGCACAGCCCCACCGCGTGTCCGGGGATGCTCCGGCCTCAGCCCCGTCCCTGGTTGGCACCGCTGGGTCTGTCCCTTGGCTCGCTCGGGGTGAGGGGGGGGGCTCCGCTGTCCCCGGTGCGCGGGCACAGCACCGCTGCCCTTTCGGGACACGGGGGTGGCCCGGGGCCAGCGAGGGGCCACGTGCCCGCGCACCGGGGACCAGACACCGGGGGTGAGGGGGGGGGGATCGCGCTGCTCTCTCCGGAGCCAGGCGCTTGTTTGATTTCCCGGGGGGGGGGAGGGAATGGAAACTTTCCCGGGGCCGGGGCTGGGGCGGCCGCGCGCTTCCTGCTCCGCACCGGCGCCGCCCCGAGGGGTCCCTGTGCCGGGCCATGCTGCCCCCCCCGCCCCGCTCACCGGGGGCTTCGCCCGCCGCGTCCCCCCCCCTCAACTCCCCCGTGCTCTGGAGGAAGCTCCGCATGAACCAGAGCATCCGCCTGCAGCGGCGCTTCACCGTGGCGCATCCCCTCTGGTAAGGACGGGGCGGGGGGGGGGAAACGCTGGTGGGTCCCCGGCAAAGGGCAGGAGGAAGCTCCAGGTTTGTACTTGCTGGGATGGGGTCAATGTTGGACCCCCCCCCCCCCCCTTCCCCCCAATGCTGTGGCAAGTCCCAAGGCTGTGGAGCCGCTTGTGGGGCACAAGCAGGGGACAGCGGGGGGGGGTCCCTGTGGCTGAGCCGGGGGGGGGGGGGGGCGTTGGTGGAGAGTGGCTGAGCACGGGCACACTCATTGCAGTGATGGGCACGCAGGGACCCTGCGGGTGACAGGCGTCTGCTCCATGGCACGGGGCGGGGGGCGTAATGGGGAGAGAAAAGCGGCTTTATCCTGCACAGCAAAGCACCAATGCAGCCCCCACGGCACAAGCGGGCACCTCGCTGCCCTCCCCACCATGGGGCTACATAGGGGTGGTTTTGGGGTGCCCCTCTGCCCGCACCCTGAGGTCCTGGTGGGTGCCAGCCCCACTTGTGTGGGCGCTGTGGGGATCAGCCGATCCCTCCTCAGCAGCAATAGCACCTATTTATAGCAGCCCCCGCCCCCCCCCCGGCCCCGCACGGCCGGTATTCATCCTGTCACGGAAACAAGGGGGTTCCACTCGGCATCAGCCCCGGTGTGGGGACTCGTGTCCCCCCCTGCCCACCCCGGGGGCTCGGGGCTGTCACCGGCCTGGACCCAGACATAGACATCAGCCGTCGGAGCCACAATGCGGCTTTGTGTCCCCGGTACCATCGGGGACGCGAGGCCGAGGCAGGAAAACAAGGGGCTGCGGGGTGGCACAGCCGGTGCCTGCCCGGTGCTGCCAGTGCCGGGGACGGCCGCGCCGCGGGCACCGGGGCGATGCAGCCGGGCAGCCGGTGCCCATCCCGCAGGCACTCCTGCATCGGGTAGGTGCTGGGCACCCGGCGGTGCGGGGGGGACGGGGTGGCCCCATGAGCTCCCCCAGTTCACCCAGTGCTCTGCTGGGGTCCCATGTCCCTGTCCCCATGGTGATGGCGGCGGGGGGGGGAAGACTGTGTCCCTCCTGCAGCCTTTCCCATGACCCCAGTGCTGATGGAGCAGGAGGAGGGGGGTGAAGCAGCCACAGCCACCATGGCGGCGCCACTGTCCCTGTCCCCATGTCCCTTGTACCCCCCCCAGACCCGCGTGGCTGCCTGGTGGCTCTGGTTGGGGTGTCCCCAAGGGCCAGGGCTTGGTTTCCCCAGCGGTTGCTGTCGTTTGACATCCTTTGGCTCCGTGCCGTGGCTTGGACTCTGTCCCCGCCATGGGACGCGGCACCCTGAGCCAGGCTGGATGGAGGCTTTAGGGCTTTCAAGGACTTAGGACAATCGGGACCCATGGTGCTGGGGACAGGCAGGAGCTGGCTCTTCCCAGGGTCTCTGGAGCCAGGGGCATCACGACCTGGGTGCCATGGGACAACCCTGCCTTTGCTAAGCCCGCACTGGGGATGTGGGGCTCCACATGCACTGAGCTGTGCCCGTTCTCAGCATTGGGGTGAAGGAGCCGGCAGGGCCGGGCTGGGCAGTGACTGGTGTCACCGCAGGAGGCACCACGAAGAGGATGGGGACCGGGTGGCATCTGCCGAGCTGTGCCCATGGGCTGAGGTCCCTGGGCCACCCGTTCCACTCCAGCCTCATCCCCTCTCCCCCTGCAGCTTTGACCTGGAGAATGGCCCCCCCGGCCGGGCCGTGCTGGACCCCCAGGCCAGCCCTGGTGCGGGGCTGGTCCTCCAAGGCACCTTCTGCCATGGCCAGCGCCGCGAGTCCTTCCTGTACCGCTCCGACAGCGACTACGACCTGTCCCCAAAAGCCATGTCCCGCAACTCCTCCATCGCCAGCGACCTGTGAGTGTCCCGACCCCCCTGCCCCGGTCCCCGGCACCCCCCCAGTGCCCTCCCTGCTGCTCACGCTCCCTTTGCTCCCGCAGGCATGGAGAAGACATGATTGTCACTCCCTTCGCACAGGTGGGTGCTGCCCCCGTGCCCTCCTGAAGAGGGGACGGGGCCCTTGTGCCCAGCACTGGGGTTGGGGTCCTGGGGGGGGTCTGCCCGGCCCCAGCTCCCTCTCGCCCCCCCCCCCCCCCCCAGGTCCTGGCCAGTCTCCGCACGGTCCGAAGCAACCTGACCCACCTGCAGGACCACGCTGGCATCAAGTGAGTTGGCCACAGGATGGGGAGGGTGAGGGTCTTGCCTGGGGGGAGGGACGGGGACAGACTCTGACCCATGGCAAAGGGGGGGACCGCCATGGGGGTCCCGTCTGCTGAGCCCCCCCACCATGTTCCACAGGCGAGGATCGAGCAGCAGCCTGCCCTCCGGGAGCAAGGCCAGCCTCACCGGTGAGTGCCGGCGGGGAAGGGGGGGATGCTGCTCCTGTGGTGACCTCTCTGGCCCTGTATCCCTGTGGATGGGTCCTGCTGGGCCCTTGGGGGTGCAGCAAGGCCCCTCCTGCACCGTGGCTTTGTCCTTTGGGATCCATGCCTGGTTTTCGGCAGCTCCTCCCATGGTGGGAAGGCTCCCGTTGACGTCAAACCTTCCATTAATAAAACCCAGCATGAGCAGGGCCCCGTGGGAGCCCCAGGCTTGGCTCTCACCCCATGGGGCCAGTGGGGCACGCTGCGTGTGATGGGGGTGGTGTGATGAGGCTGAGCCCCATACCCAGGGATGCTTGAGCTTAGCCCCTGGTCCTGGCTGCTTCCCTGCATCCCCCTGTGTGCTCCCATCCACTGTCTTGGCAAGGGACATGCCGTGGCCAGTAGCCTCTGTGTGTCCCCATGGCGGGTCCCCGTGCCAAGCTGATGGGTGTCCCCAGCAGAAGATGCCCACCAGAAGCTCTCCCGGGAGACCCTGGAGGAGCTGGATTGGTGCCTGGACCAGCTGGAGACGCTGCAGACACGGCACTCGGTCGGCGAGATGGCCTCCAACAAGGTGAGCATCCACAGAGCCCCCGGGGAGGGGAGCAGGGTCCTGCCTGCCCGCTGAGCCCTGCCCGCTGCCCCCAGTTCAAGAGGATGCTGAGCCGGGAGCTGACGCAGCTCTCGGAGACCAGCCGCTCCGGGAACCAGGTCTCCGAGTACATCTCCAGCACCTTCCTGGGTGAGGTCCCCCCCCACCTCGGTGCCACCTCTGCCGGCAGCAGGGTCCTGGTGTTGGGTTCCCCCCCAACCCGGTCTTGCTCACGGTCCCCTGTGCCGGCCCAGACAAGCAGCACGAGGTGGAGATCCCGTCGGCGCTGGCCAAGGACAAGGAGAAGGAGCGTCGGAAGCGCCCCATGTCCCAGATCAGCGGCGTCCGGAAGCTCACGCACGGCTCCAGCCTGGCCGCTGCCGGCATCCCTCGCTTCGGGGTGCGCACGGACCAGGAGGGGCTGCTGGCTAAGGTGGGTGACCCGGCCGGCCCTGGGGTGCCTGGCACTGGCCCCACATGGACCCCTGTCCCTCTGCTCCTCAGGAGCTGGAGGACACCAACAAGTGGGGGCTCAACGTGTTCAAAGTCGCCGAGTACTCGGGCAACCGCCCGCTGACGGTCCTCATGTACAGCATCTTCCAGGTGAGCATCCCAGCGGGATGGCCCCGTCCCCGTGCCCGGATGGGGATGAGCCAACCCCTGGCCCTCCCTGCAGGAGCGTGACCTGATGAAGACTTTCCGCATCCCTGTTGACACCTTCATCACCTACATGCTGACACTGGAGGACCATTACCACGCTGACGTGGCTTATCACAACAACATCCACGCCGCCGATGTAGCTCAGTCCACCCATGTCCTCCTCTCCACGCCTGCTCTGGAGGTGAGCCCTGCTCACCCAAGGCCACTGCCTGTGTCTTGCAGGGCCATAGCCCATCAGAAACACCTTTTCCCCCTATCCCTAGGCTGTCTTTACAGACCTGGAGATCATGGCCGCTATCTTTGCCAGCGCCATCCATGATGTTGACCACCCTGGTGTCTCCAACCAGTTCCTCATCAACACCAGTGAGCTGGGGCACAGGGATGGAGATGATGGGAGGGGGGGAACAGGGGGACCTTGGCTTCCAGCAGCTGGCCCGGGGTGACCGGTGCCATCCTGCAGACTCGGAGCTGGCGCTGATGTACAACGACGCCTCCGTGCTGGAGAACCATCACCTGGCCGTGGGCTTCAAGCTTCTCCAGGAGGAGAACTGCGACATCTTCCAGAACCTGAGCAAGAAGCAGAGGCAGTCGCTGCGCAAAATGGTCATCGACATGGTATGGGGAACCCTGACCCCCACCTCCCTGGGCTGGGGGGGGTTGTGGGGGGTCAGGCTGAGCCCTGTTCCCAACTTGTCCCATCCAGGTGCTGGCCACGGACATGTCCAAGCACATGAATCTGCTGGCGGATCTGAAGACAATGGTGGAGACAAAGAAGGTGACGAGCCTGGGGGTGCTGCTGCTGGACAACTACTCCGACCGGATCCAGGTGAGTGCAGGGATGCAGGGAACCCTTCCTGGCATTGCAGGCACTGGTCCTGGCTCTGGACAGGACTGCTGGGACGTCCTGTTTGGTGCCACTCCATCTCCCAACACCATCGGCCATGGCCAACAGGGTTCCTGGCATAGGGGGGTGGCCCTGGGGGACAGAGGATTCTGAAGTGATGCCGTGGCTGTGTCATAGAATCAGGGAATGGGTTGGGTTGGAAGGGACCTTAAAGCCCATCCAGCTTCAACCACGGGCAGGGACCCCTTCCACTGGAGCAGCTTGCTCCAAGCCCCTGTGTCCAACCTGGCCTTGAACACTGCCAGGGATGGGGCAGCCACAGCTTCTCTGGGCACCCTGTGCCAGCGCCTCAGCACCCTCACAGGGAAGAGCTTCTGCCTTATCTCCAACCTGAACTTCCCCTGTTTCAGTCTGAACCCATCACCCCTTGTCCTCTATCACTGCAGTCCCTGATGAAGAGCCCTTCTCCAGCATCCTTGTAGCCCCTTTCACACACGCTGGAAGCTGCTCTGAGGTCTCCACGAAGCTTCTCCCCTCGAGGCTGAGCAGCGCCGATGTTCTCAGGTCTGTGCCCCTCTTTCCCCAGGTCCTGCAGAACATGGTGCATTGCGCCGACCTCAGCAACCCCACCAAGCCGCTGGAGCTGTACCGCCAATGGACCGACCGCGTCATGGTGGAGTTCTTCCGCCAAGGCGACCAGGAGCGGGAGAAGGGCATGGAGATCAGCCCCATGTGCGACAAGCACACGGCCTCTGTGGAGAAGTCCCAGGTAAGGGCAGCATCATGGGGGGGGTCAGGGGGGGCTCCACAGGGCTCAGGGCTCAGCTTTGCCTTCTTTCAGGTGGGCTTCATTGACTTCATTGCGCACCCGCTGTGGGAGACGTGGGCTGACCTGGTGCACCCCGATGCGCAGGAGCTCCTGGACACGCTGGAGGACAACCGGGAATGGTACCACAGCATGATCCCGCGCAGCCCGTCCCCCCCACCTGCGGGGCACAGAGCATCCCCTGCCAGCACCGACAGGTTCCAGTTCGAGCTGACGCTGGAGGAGGAGGAGGAGGAGGAGGAAGAGGAGGGGGAGCTGGACACGGAGCCGGAGGGCGCAGAGAGCCCCTTGGAGGAGGAGAACAGTGGCTCCAAGACACCAGCCACAGATGACTCGGGGTCGGCTGACATCAAGTGCCTGTCACCCGGCCCTAGGGACTCGGACTCTCCTGTCACCTGCCCCAGGGATGTGGACAACCGGCAGGCACTGGAGGGGATGATGCCAAAGGACAGCGGTGGCAGTGGGTGCTCAGAGCCGGGGCCTGCGGGGCTGTGCCTGGACACGGAGGGCAACGTCACATTCCTGCCCCTGGGCACGTAGCGGCACCGGCCGTGGGTCCCCCTCGCTGCCGCAGGGATGTGGGACTGGGCACTGCCCCGGTGAGAGCATCAGCACGGCAGGGACATGGAGGGACCCAAAGTTTGTCCCCATTTGGGGGGGTCCTGATGGGCACAAGGACTCTGCTGAAAAGGCCCCTGTGCTCTTCAGACAGGGCTTGGGAACACTGTGCCCCAGCCCCAGCCCACCGTGGGGACGTGGAGGCTCACAGGGCTCTGGGGACGAGGTCCTCCATGGGGCCAAAGGCGTTTTGACCTCTCTCTAGGCGGCCCCTGGCCCAACACAGCCGCACGGAGGGCCAGCGAGGGGGATGAAGGGTGCTGGTGCCAGCATCCTCAGCACGCCCGAGTGCCGGTGCCCGTGGTTTATTTATTCAGGGCCGGGTTCACCGTTCCAAGCCTTTTGTAGCTCACGTTTCCATACAAGCCCCCCCTCCCCGGGTGCACTCACGTCAGGACACGGTCCCGCTCTGCCATCAGCACTCGAAACGCTGCCTTTGGACTTTGCACTTGGGGCCCCAGCGGGTGCTGTGACCCCCCCCTCTGTGTCTCCACAGGGGCCGGGGCATCCCCTGAGGTTCCTTTTGGTCTTCCTTCACTTCCCAGAGATTAAACCTGGTTTGTTCCCTTCCGAACACGAGCCTTGGGAGTGCCAATGCCCAGCGTGGTTGGCGGCCCCGTTTCCTGCCAGGCACCGAGGGAGGGGTGTGGGGGCCCCCCCGCTGCTCCGTGTTTGAACAAAAGCTTGCTCCTCCCTGCCAAACGCAACGGGTTAAGGTAAATATTGAACCGCCGGCTTGGCGCGGCTCTGAGCCCTTCCCCTCGCTCTTCCGCATCGCTCCCAACGGTGATTTACGGCTGCAAACACGTCCCCACCCGTGGCACTGCCCCACCGGGGCCCCCGGCTCCCGTGTGCTCCTCTCGCATCCCTGCTGGATCCCAGCGCTGGGTGCCGCAGGAGCCGGCGGGTGGAGCGGTGCCAGCGCCGTCTCGCAGGCGGGTGCTCGGCATCCCCCCTCCTCCCGTCTCCGGATGAAGCGGAGCTGGGCGCCGGCAGGTTGATGGGAACCAGGCTCCCAGAGCTCCAGATCCAGCCCCAGGGGCAGGGAGCGGGCCGGGAGCTGATGGAAAAACCCTTTTCACTCCTTGCTTGGCTGAGGGGCGGCATCAGCCAGGCACCAAGGAGGGCGGTGGAGCCCATGCCCGCGGGAGGTGCAGTGCGGCTGGATGCATCCCTGCCTCCCGGTCGTGCCGTGATGCTGAGGAGGCTCAGGGCCATGTCCCTGCACCCAGCGGGCTCCAGGCAGAGCCTGAGGGTGTCCAGCTCCATCCTTGCACAGGCTGTGACATCCTCGACGCATCCCTGAGGAGCAGCCATATGTTGCCTCCCTCTAATCCCCTCGAGGCTCGGGCAGGACATTGGCGTACACGGCCAGGTACCCCTGTCTGGGGATGGGGATCAAGCTGCAGGCGTGAAAGGGGGTGTTGGGGTTGGAGCTGTGGCGATAGGGCGTCATATCGCGACAGGGGAAGCTGTGAAAGCCCTGCACCCCCGCTCCCCCAGCGAATGGTTCCCCCCGCGGCCCAGCCGAAGCGCCGCCGGACCGCACCACTGCGCGCTGCAAGGGGGGAACCCCGGCGGCGCCCACCAACCCCGCCCGGCTCCGTGTCCATCGCAGAGCGCTGACCACCAATCAGCGCTTCGCTTTGGGGCCCGGGCGGTGACGTCGCGACATCATTTACATACGCCACGCCCCTTCTCCTCCCCAGCGCGACGTCACCCGGGCTCTGCAGTTGCTGCAGGAGGAGGCGGCGTGGAGGTGAGCGAGCGACATCCCCCCCCCCCCCATTTCTGCCCCCCCCCCCTTCAACCGGGTACCCCCCCCCCCGGTACCGGGGGGGGGGGTACCCGGTTGAAGGGGAGGGGGGGAGCAGCGAGAAGCTGACTGCAACGGTGTTGGGGGGGGGGAAAGATGCATTTGGGGGGGGGGGGGCGTGCATCCCCGCATCCACCCATCCCCTGCATCCCAGCATCATCTCCCCCCCCACCACCCCGCACCTCCCATGGCGGCTCCCGCAGCACCGAGCGCGGCGTGTGCGGGCACTGCTGCAGGTGCCATTTTGCAGGGGAGATGCGGGAGAGGCTGCAGCGCCCTCAATGCAGCCGCAGTCCCGTTGCTGGGGTCGTGGTACCACCCCCCCCCCCCCCCTTTGCCATGGTCGTGGTGTCCCTCTTTGCCAGGATCATGTCCATCCCTTTGCCAGGGTCGTGTCTACCCCCTTTGCCAGGGTTATGGTGTTGTCCCCCCCACTTTGCCAGGGTCGTGTGTACCCCCTTTTGCCATGGTTGTGTTTCCCCCCCTCTTTGCTTGGGGTCATGGTCCCCCTTTTGCCACGGTTGTGTCGCCCCCTCTTTTGCCAGGGTTGTGGTCCCCCCTTTGCTGGGTTCTCTGCACCCCATCTTTGATGCAGGCACCTTCTTGGGGTGGCTGCATTGGGGGTGATGGGTCCTGGCCCTGCAGAGTCCTTTGGGGCCAATCACCCGTGTTGGTGGCAGCTCCCAATCCAAATAGGATCAAACCGTGCCTGCCCCAGTGGGAAACCGGTGGCACCGGGGCCTGGCATCGGGTGCGTTTGCCATCCCTGTCATGGCCTCTCCTGTGTCCCTGCCTTGCAGATGGCGTCCGCTACCGACTCCCGCTATGGGCAGAAGGAATCCTCGGACCAGAACTTCGATTACATGTTCAAAATCCTCATCATCGGCAACAGCAGCGTGGGGAAAACCTCCTTCCTCTTCCGGTACGCTGACGACTCCTTCACACCGGCCTTCGTCAGCACCGTCGGCATCGACTTCAAGGTCAAGACCATCTACCGGAACGACAAGCGCATCAAGCTGCAGATCTGGGTGAGACCCCGGCACTGGGTGCTTGCTGTGGGGCTGTTCGCTTCGCCGGGGTGGTGGTGGTGTGTGTGGGGTGATGCTGGTGCTGCTGTCCCCGGCTGGGTGGCACGGTGCTGATGTGCTGCTCTCACCCCAGGACACAGCCGGCCAGGAGCGGTACCGCACCATCACCACCGCCTACTACCGCGGTGCCATGGGCTTCATCCTGATGTACGACATCACCAACGAGGAGTCCTTCAACGCCGTGCAGGACTGGTGAGCACTCAGGCAGGGTTCTGGGGGGTCCATTCCCCCCCCCCAAATACCTTTCCCAGGCACCTCCATCGCCCTTCTCTGCCCCCCATCATCCGTTCCCTTTTTCCCTTCCCCTAAGGTCCACCCAGATCAAAACCTACTCGTGGGACAACGCCCAGGTCCTGCTGGTGGGGAATAAATGTGACATGGAGGACGAGCGCGTCGTCTCCTCGGAGAAGGGCCGCCAGCTCGCTGAGCACTTGGGTGAGCCGGGGTGGGGGGGACACCCATCTGCTCCCCCACCCCCATGTCATTGAATTCGGGGCTGGATTCCCTCCCTGTCATTCTGCTTTGAGAGCAGCAGTGACTTGTCCCTCAGTGCATAAGGAATAAGGCATCACCGGGGGAAGGGGTGGGGGGGTGATGCTGCTTCCCATTGCAGCACCAGAAACCTGCCGAGGGGATGGAGCTGGGTGGCTGCAGGGGTAAGGATGGAGCCGGGTGGTCCAGGTGTGTGCAGCGCACGCATCCCTTCACTGGTTAATGATGGGAGGAGGAGCCGGGGAGGGTTCTGCTGGGCACAGCCCTGATCTATATCCATGTGTGTGTGTGTGTGTGTGTCCCCTTCCTCTGCCTGCATCCTCCAGGCTTTGAGTTCTTCGAGGCCAGCGCCAAGGACAACATCAACGTGAAGCAGACCTTCGAGCGCCTGGTGGACATCATCTGCGAGAAGATGTCGGAGTCGCTGGACACGGCCGACCCGGCGGTCACCGGCGCCAAGCAGGGCCCCCAGCTCACGGACCAGCAGGCCCCCCCGCACCAGGACTGTGCCTGCTAGGACCAAGCCCCCCCCCCCCCCCAACACCCCTCAATATTGGTCAGTGCACCCCTCTCCTCCCCCTGAGCCCCTCTTCTTGGGGGGGGTCCCACGGGGGCTTTTGCTGCTGATACCTCCGAAAGGGCTGCAGCCCCTCTAGGAGCCCCCCCTTCAGTTAGGCTCTGCCCCCTCCAATCCCCTTAATTTATTTTTAAGCCTGGGCTGGTAGAACCCCCCCCCCCCTTGTTCTGCTTTTAATCACTCCAAACCCCCCTTTTCCCTGAGGAATACTATTTTCTCTGCTCACCCCCCCATCCCATCCCTCCCTTGGGAGCAGGGATGCACCCCCTGCCCTTGTGGGGAGCTGCAGTGGGACCCCCCCTCCAAACCTCAGATCCCCGCTGGGCCTCCCCATGTCCCCATCCCCAGCCTGGCCTGCCCAAAGAGCTCCTTGGGGGGGGGGGTCTCTTTGTGCCCGGCTCTTCCCCCTCCCCAAGATGGATGGATACTTCCTATCTCTTGTTTATTTGTATAAATAGATGCTAATTTATGCTCCCGCCGTCTTCCTCCTTGTACATAAAGAAGAACCCCTTGTAAATAGGTGTAGAAGTGACGCTGTGCGTGACCTGCTGTGCTGTGGCCGTGTTGGTGCATCCAGGTTTTCTTTCTCTCTGTGGTAACCTTGCTTGTGAATATCTTTGCAAGAGAAATCTTCTTTAAAGGTACCCCCAAAACCCACCCAGATGCATCCCCGAGAGCTCGGCCGAGCAGCCTGCAGCAAGTTAGCCCTGCTTTGGGGATGGGGACCTTGGTACAACCCCGGCTTTGCCTCCATGGGGACCATTGTGTTGCTGATTTGCTACGGGGCGTTCGGCTCCTCCTGTGTTCCTGTAGTACCGTGCTTCTGTGGAGACTGTGCCCACGTGGATGTTCCTGTAGCAAACCTGGACCTGGAGGTCTTGCTTCCCTCTTATTTATTTTTCTTGGAGTTCTGTGTTTTTAATTTCCAGGTTCCCCCCCACCCCGTTTTCCCTGACTGCAAATCCCACCTCCCTTCCCCTTCCCCTTTCCTATTTTTTTGGTGAAGTTTACTTATGGAAGAGTTAACTCTGTACTGTACAAATGTCAAAAGTGTCAAAAAAAAACAAACAAAAAAAAAAAAACAAGAAAAAAAAAAGGACAAATTTCCTAAAAATCACTGTATTCCAGAAATGGTGTGAAGAAATAAATCACTGCTGATCACTGGCCTCTGGGGGTCACTGCGGGCGCAGGGCAGGGCGGGGGGGGGGTGCCCCGTGTCCGTACCCGCGGCCCCGCTGCCGACCTCGTCTCCAAAGAGGAGCCAAAACTGCTCTGGTGTCTTCATGAGCATCCTCCAAAGGGCTCCTGGCAGCTCGGGTGGCCCCTTGGTGCCGGGGGGGGGACCACAGGAGGGATGAAGACAGAGCTCCAAGGCACTGGGTTAAGCTTAACATTGAGGCAGCTCCCGTTGATGCTGGAAACAAGGGAAGGTCCCGGTGAGGGGCCAGACCCTGCCCAACCGTTGCCTTAGAAGCACCCAGCTGCCTCCGCATGGGTTCAGCCGTGGCAGCGAGCAGGCGGCTGCGCTCACACCGCTCTTATTTATAGGCACCGGGTGGCTGCAGGAGCCCACGCATGGGGATGGGGAGAGGGGGGGGTGAGGAGGAGCTCAGCGACTCCAGCTCTGAGGACAGAGCAGCGGCAGCAGCAGCAGGGAACGGGCTGAGGTTCCAAAGGGGCAGCGTCCTCTTTGCCAAGCAGCCAGAAGAGGAGCAGAGGAAGGCGCTGGAGCGGAGCAAAGGGCCAGGCTTGCTCTGGAGAAGGGCAAATCAACCTGTCCGGAGGGGGCAAAGCGGAGCTGCAGCAGCTCCTCCCCACGCCAGGGGCTCTGTGGATGGAGAGAGACAGAAACCGCTCTACAGCCCACCCTGGGGCAGCGATGGGCTCCAAACACAAACCCAACGCAGTGCTGCGGCCAATAGAGGAGTTAAGCAGCAAGCACTGAGGTGGCAGTGATGGTCGCCAGCCATCGCTTGTGGGGGGGGGGGATTGAGGCACGGAGATGCCCAGAAAACATCTCACCATGGGGAGAAGCCTCTGGAAACGCTGCCATTGAGAGCAGCTCCTTCACATCCCGGCCCTGCGCTGGCTGTGCTCCGTGCTCGGGGGGGTGCCGGGCTGGAAAACAGGAGAGGTGCTGTGTGTGGGGTGAGGCCGGCGATGGGGATGCACCCCCGGTGCTGGGGCTCACCCTGTGTTTGAGGTAGGAGAGGTACGTGTCCCAGCCCAGCGTGACCACGTTGACGTAAATCACCCGGTACTTGGGGGGCACGAAGAGGAAGTTGATGAGCTGAGCCCCGGGCCAGACGCACCAGTCAGCCTGTGGAGAGCAAGGAACCACAGTCACAGCCTGGCTTGGGTTATAGGGACCTTAAAGCTCATCCAGCTCCAAGCCCTGCCACTGGGACCCCTTCCACTGGAGCAGCTTGCTCCAACCTGGCCTTGAGCATTGCCAGGGATGGGGCAGCCACAGCTTCTCTGGGCACCCTGTGCCAGTGCCTCAGCACCCTCACAGGGTCAGGGTTAGGGTGCTCCTGCCTTATCTCCAACCTGAACTTCCCCTGTTCCAGTCTGAACCCATCACCCCCTGTCCTATCACTGCAGTCCCTCATGCAGAGCCCCTCTCCAGCATCCTTGTAGCCCCCTTCACACACTGGAAGCTGCTCTGAGGTCTCCACGCAGCTTCTCCTCTCCAGGCTCAACAGCCCCAGTGTTCTCAGCCTGGCTCCACACAGGAGCTGCTCCAGCCCCTGTTCATCCTCGCGGCCTCCTCTGGACTCACCCCAACAGCTCCAAGTCCTTGCACTGAGGCCACCAGCACCACACACAGTGCTGCGGGGGGGGGTCTCACAGAGCAGAGCAGAGGGGCCCCCGATGAAACCCGAGGGCAGGAGGGGGGGCTTTACCTTGTAAAACTCCCAGAATTTGTCCTTCAGCTCCTCCCAGCTCTCCCTCAGAGCCTGCCCCTCCAGCGTGCCCATGCCTGCGGGACACAGCATCAGTGCATGGCGGTGCTCCGGAGCTCAGCACCACGGGCGCAAGGAGGGTGCTGGCACCTACCCAGGAAGTACCAGGCGCCCAGGGCGGGCGATGCCACCAGCTGGTCCATGAAGACTTTCTTGAGGATGGTTCTGAGCCCCCTCACACCCCGCGCCGGGAAGGCAGCGTCGAGCCACAGGTACCAGTAATGCATGAGCGGGCCCATGCTGCAGCCGATGGCGAACATCCGCCCTGCAACACAACACCGGGCACCCGTGCATTATTCATGTGGCTGCCCCACGGCCCCGGCGGCGGATGCGGCGCTGGGGGGAGCACAAAGGCTTCGTGTGGTGCCGGGGAGCTGGTGCCTAATTCCTGCTCCATCGGAATGAGGATGAGTTCAGAGGCATAAATCATAGACTTCAGAAGGGGTTGGGGTTGAAGGGACCTTTAAAGCTCATCCAGCTCCAACCCCTGCCACGGGCAGGGACCCCTTCCACTGGAGCAGCTTGCTCCAAGCCCCTGTGTCCAACCTTGGCCTTGAACACTGCCAGGGATGGGGCAGCCACAGCTTCTCTGGGCTTCTCTCAGCACCCTCACAGGGAAGAGCTTCTTCCTTAGATCTAACCTGAGCTTCCCCTGTTCCAGTCTGAACCCATCACCCCTTGTCCTATCACTGCAGTCCCTGATGCAGAGCCCCTCTCCAGCATCCTTGTAGCCCCCTTCAGACACTGGAAGCTGCTCTGAGGGCTCACTGCAGCTTCTCTTCTCCAGGCTCACCACATCAGCTCCTGGGGGTTTGCAGAGAGGTTTTCAGGAGCACGAGTTGCTGCTCACGCTCCTGTTGATGCAGCCCAGGATACGGGTGGTTTCGGGGCTGTGAGCGCACACTGAAGCCGGCTCACGTTCATTGTCTCATCAACCAGCACCCCCGAGTCCTTCTCCTCAGGCTGCTCTGAACCTCTTCTCCCCGCCGCCTGTGGCTGTGCCTGGGATTGCCCCGACCCATGTGCAGGACCTTGCCCTTGGCTTTGCTGAGCTCCATGAGCTTGCCCTTGGCCACCCCTCCAGCGCATCCAGGTCCCTCCGGATCGATCCCTTCCCCACCCGTTGTGTCCCCGCCCCACGGAGCTCGGCCTCAGCACCGCCGTGGGTACCGCTCCCGCCGCTGTCACCTGTGCGCGCCGGCTGTAGGTCGGTGCCCGGGTGCCGCCGGCAGTGCCAGGCCTGCTGCAGCACGTCCCCGGTGGCCAGCATGGCTCCGCAGCTCGCCGTGTTGGTCAGCAGCAGCAGCCGCCCCGTGAAGAGCCGCCGCCAGCCCCGCGCCAGCATCCTGCGGGCCCCTGCCGGGGGGGTCAGCGGGGATGGAGACACCCCCATAGCACCCCGGGACCCACTGATCTAGCACCCCTGAGACCCCATTACCCCTGCCGTGCCCCCGGTACTGATGCTGTACCCCGGTACGCGTGCCATGGTACCGGTATCATGCCATGCTCCCGGTACCCGTGCCTTGCTGCCGGTACCCGTCCCATGTGCCCCGTATCTGTGCCATGCTCCCGGTACCCACGCCTTGCCCCCAGTACCCGTGCCATCCTCCCAGTACCGGTGCACCCCTGTACCAGTGCCTTGTCCCCGGTATCCGTGCCATGTCCCCCATATCCGTGCCATGCTCCCGGTACCCGTGCCATTGTACAGGTACTGTGCCATGCTCCCGATACCCGTGCCATGCTCCCTGTATCCGTGCCATGCTCCCGGTAGCCATGCCTTGCCCCCAGTATCTGTGCCATGCTCCCGGTATCGGTGCCATTGTACAGGTACTGTGCCATGCTCCTGGTACCCGTGCCATGCTCCCGGTATCGGTGTCATTGTACAGGTACTGTGCCATGCTCCCGGTACCCGTGCCATGCCGCCGCTATCGGTGCCATGCTCCCGGTACCGGTGCGCCCTTGTACCAGTGCCTTGCCCCCGGTCCCCGGTCCCCGTGACCTGCGCCATGGCACCGGTACCGTGCCCTCCTTACCCGTGCCGTGCCCCCCGATACCGGCGCTAAACTTCCCCCCCCCCCCCGTTACCCCGGACCTGCCCCCGCTCACCACCACCACCACGCGGAAGAGAGGGCGCAGCCTGTGACGCAACCTCTTCCGCTTCCGGCGGCCGCCATGACACGTACCGAGGCACAGGCGGCCGCCATGACACGTACAGAGGCATCCGCCATGGCATCTACACACGCAGGGCAGCCGCCATGACACTTACCGAGGCACAGGCGGCCGCTATGACACCTACACAGGCAGCCGCCATGACACGTACCGAGGCACAGGCGGCCGCCATGACACGTACCGAGGCACAGGCGGCCGCCATGACACGTACCGAGGCGGCCCCGGTGGCGCTGGTCCCGGTGCGCCCCCGCCCCGCCGCGCCGCTCCCATCGCCCCATCCGGAGCCTGCTGTTTCTGACCGAACCCTTCATTAACCTCTTTATTGCTCTCTCCCCGGTGCTCCCAGACCTTCCCTCAGCGCCGGCAGCGGGGCCGGGCCTCCGGTGTCCTTGAGCTCCCACAGGCTTCGGGCTTCTCCCCCTGGCAGAGAGGGACCGGTAGAGCCCAATGGGGACGGGTCCCGGTCCCGGTCCCCGTTCCCACCGGGATCCCACCTGGTAGAGGCGGCAGATGAGCCCCAGCAGCGACGCCTCGGCCTCTTCCTGCAGCTCGTCCGTGTGCTTCTGCGTGTGGGGACACGGGGCCGGTCAGGGGCGCTCCCCCCCCCGGCCCTGGCTCACCCCCATCCGCTCCCGGCCGTACCCCGTTAACCACGACCCAGGGCACGTATTGGTGCGGGGGGTCCAGCGCCTCCGTGAGCTGCGCGTTGCGGTGCATGAGGGCGGCCCCGGTGTCCCCCTGCACGCAGGCGGCGATGCGGGTCCCGTCCAGCTGCGGGGCATAGACCTGGAGGCACTGCGGGACGGAGCGGCCGTCAGCGCGGAGCGGGCCCGGAGCGGGGCCCGAGGGGGGACACACGTACGGCTTCCAGGGTCTGGGTGACGGAGCTGCCCGACTCCAGGCAGAAGATGACCGGGAAGTAGGTGCTGAAGTTCTTGGCCTCGTGCATCAGGCAGGTCTGCGGGGACAGGGAGAGGGGCTTTGGGCGAGGGATGCAGGGACGGGACAGGGGGGATGGCTTGAACCTGCCCGAGGGGAGGCTGAGATGAGCTCTTAGGCAGAAGCTCTTCCCTGTGAGGGTGCTGAGGCGCTGGCACAGGGTGCCCAGAGAAGCTGTGGCTGCCCCATCCCTGGCAGTGCTCAAGGCCAGGTTGGAGCAAGCTGCTCCAGTGGAAGGGGTCCCCATGGCAGGGGTTGGAGCTGGATGAGCGTTAAGGTCCCTTCCAACCCAAACCATTCCCTGATTCTCTGAGCTGTTGGAGCCACACGGTGCGGCAGAAGGTGCGGGAACCTGCTCTTTGGAGAGACTTGGTGCTCGGGAGCAGCTTCCCAGCCCTCCGCACGGATCCGCTTTGAAAAGCCACGGAACAAGTTCACCAGGGCTGAAGGTTTTGTCCTTCCTTCAGCTGCACTGGCTTGTCTGAGGCGCCTGGAGCCGGCCCCGGGTGGAATCCGGGGAGGTGCCTGCCAGGGAGCCCTGACCCCACGGGCTTTGGGTTCTGCTGCCTCTGGGTGCATCGTGGGGTCCGGGAGCAGCCGGAGTCTTTCCCAGGTTGGACACAGGGGCTTGGAGCAAGCTGCTCCAGTGGAAGGTGTCCCCTGCCCGTGGCGCTGGGTGAGCTTTAAGGTCCCTCCCAACCCACACCAGGCTGGGATTCTGTGATTCATTTAGCACCAGCTCCCCCCCACGCCACCGCCACGGGGCAGAGAGCACCCCCCTCACCTCAATCATGTTGCCCAAGCACTCCTCGGGGCCGTGCTGGCACTTAAATTCCCACTTCCCGCTCTCGTTCCTCTCCTGCAGGACCAAGCGCTCTGAGTGGGGCCGGCAGCACCAGGACGAGCACCCCCCGACCACGGGCACCAAGGTGGCTCCGGCTCCTACCTGGGCGTTACCGTAGGGTACCAGGGTGATGCTCAGGGCCTCGGGGGGCAGCAGCAGCCAGGCGGTGAAGAGCTGCTGCACCAGGAACCTGCGGCACGCGGGGCACAGGCTCTCGTAGAACAGGCTCAGCTCCACGGGGGCAGCCGCCGGGTGCGAGGGGTGGGCGCCGGGGCCCGGAGCCTGTGTGCGGGAAGGGGTCGGGGTGCGCCGGAGGGGGGGGATCGGCTGCGGTTCCCTGCTCCCCGCATTCACAGGGATGGGGGAAAGCGCCTGGGAAGGGGGCTGGGGGTGAGGGTATGGGAAGGGAAGTGAAAGTCCTGCAGCGCCGGGGCTTTCCAGAGCAGCTTCCCCATGAGCGGAGCCCAGCACCCAACCGCCGAGGTTGGCTGCAGCCACAAGTGCCCAGAGGGAAGGGTCGGGGCCGGGGGGTGCCGGGCACCGCTGCGGTGCCAGCGCGGCACAGGGGCTCTGAGCACCCCTGTGGCATTGCCAGCCCGAGCCGCAGGGATGCTCAGGGATGCCCCGCAGCGCTGCCGGCCCCGGCCCCGTCCCCGCTCACCCAGCCCCATAGGAGCCGTTGCCCCGTGTGCCGCGGGTGCCCCCGGCGGCTCTGACCTGGCAGGCGGCGGCGACGTCCGGCGAGCGGCACCAGAGCCGCGCAGGGTCACGGTCGCAGGCGGCAGGAGCCGCTCCGAGCCCCGGGGCCAGCAGCGCCAGCAGCGGCAGCAACGCCGCGGGGGCCATGGGAGCGCTGTCCCGATGAGCGCTTCCAGAGCTGCGCCCGCCCTTCCTGCCCCGCTCAACCGGCCCCTCCGGTGACGCCGGCGCTGACTCACTCGGGCCGCCCGGCTCCGGCTCCCTTCGGTCCCGCAGCAGCGCTGGGGTCCGGGGTGAAGCCGAACCCCAGCAGCCCGGGGCTGCACCGGCAGCTCCGCCCTGGAGTCATTCCTAGTGCTGGGAACGGAGGAACTTTGTGCTTCCCCCCTTCGGGCTCTGCTGCCACCCGGCACGGGATGGGGCACAACCAGCTGGGTCCCAATCCCGTCCCTGTTCCCACAGAATTCCCGGCAGCAGTTCCATGAATTCTGTTTATTTCCTTTTTTTTTTTTTCTTAGGGGGAGGGGTGGGGGTGGTTGTTTTGTGGGTTTATTTTTTTTTTTGGAAGTACCGTACAAAAAATCCTCTTACAGTAACAAATAATGGGGCTGACATTAGTAAACATCGACAGAAAGAGCAGAGAGAGAGCAACTGCTGGTAACGGGGCAGCTGAAGTGGCGAGGGATTATTGCATATACCTAGAACTAAACCTCAGCTGTGCTCATGCAGCCGCCACATCCTCTCCGAGCACAAACCCCACCCCAAGCCCTCAGTGGGGTGATGGGGGAGCGTGGAGCATCCCAAGCTGGGATAGAGAGGGACAAGACCGGAGCTGTGCCCCGGGGAGCAGGAACGGCCACGTTGCACCCATGGGATGGGGGCGAGCAGCACGGTTTAGGGGGGACAACAGGGAGTTTTGGGGGGGGTCACAAGCAGCAAAGCACAGCCCAGAGCCTGGGGACACATCGCGAGCGGCGGCATCCAGCGGCAACAACAGCACCAGCAAAGCAGCGCGGGACAAATCACAACCAGCTTCATTGTGGGGGAGCTCAGGGCTTGGGGTTCCCCCCCCCGGGGTGGGGGGGGCAGGGAAGGGCTGAGCTGCAGGGAGCCAAGTCAAGCACCATCAGGGAAAGGCAGCCCTGGGGAAGGGCTTTGTCCTCCTCCTTGTACACAGCGAGCGGAGCCCTGCACGGGTGATGGGTGCTGCAGGGCGCAAGGGGGTGACTGTGACCCCCCATTATCACAGGGAGCTGCCCAAGCTCCTGGGGAGGAAAAGGCTCCAGCGAGAAGGGGACTGCATGGGGAGAAGAGCAGGAATTGAGCCAAGAGGAGCAAAGAACGTGGTGAGAGAAGGAAATACACTGCTGGGAATGGGGTGGGAGCCTGGCCGGAAGCTTTGGGGTGCTGGCATGGCACCCACCCTGCAGAGGCCTCTGCAGAAAGGGCTATGAGCACCAAAGCCTGCCTGCCCCATTCCCACGTGTTCTCATCGCTCACGTGCCCAAGCACAAACTATTCCCTTCATTATCCCTGGTGGCTTTTCCCAAGTGATGCCTGAAGCCACACACGGCCTCCTCCGGGCTCTGCACCCCACAGCTCCCCGGGGCTGGTGCCTGCCCCTTCCATGGCACTTGGGCACCCTGAGCTGTGATGGGTCAGGGCTGGCACTGCTGCACCACGGCCTCAGAGCACCAAACGGTGAGGAACCAGCCCCAAAACCACAGCCCAGGGCCTGCAGAGGGCATGCAGGGAATGGGGGCTGTACAGCCGAGCACAGAAGCTGCCACAAGCAATGGGGATGGGATGTTTGCTCCAGCAACCCCAGATCCCAAAGGACCAGGGCAAAGCAGAGCTGGGGGAGGAGGTACCCGACACAGATGGCACATCAAGGGCAGGATGCAGAGCATGAGCAGGCAGCACCTCGCAGGTCCGACAGCAACAGAAGCGGCGAAGCCCACAGCATCCAGCCCAAGGATGCAGCTCCGGCAGGGAAAGAGCCTCTCCGGCAAATCAAGAGGACAATTAATGCTTCCTTCAAGGCAGGCAGGCAGGATAACCCAGTGAAGCAAATGCCACCGTGGCCTCAACTCTCAGCCCAGGTCCAGCAGAGCCACCTCTGTGGCCCTCGAGCCCTTTGAGCTCAGACCCAACAAATCCCTGCCTGCACCAGCCAGCTCCGAGGGGCAGCACGACAGCAACAGCCAGTTCCTTCACCCCCATACAGTACTCATGATTCTAAGTGCTTTGCATACAGAGTTCCACATCATGCATATACGTTTGTACGTGCCCAGGCCCTCGGCCCAGCAGATACCGTCCTCCTGCAGCAGGGAGCTCCTTCATTTTGTACAGGGCTCGTAGTGTGCGTCGGCCTCCGGCCCCCTCCTGCTTCAAGCTGGCAGGACCCGGGTCTGCAGCAGCCTGGGCAGCTGCTGGGTAGTGAGAGTTCAGCAAACACCAGCACTAGGAAAGCAGCTGATTACAAAAGGAACCGTATTTACAGAGCTACAGTGAGCGTCAAGGGGAAGGATCACCCAAGACGGCCGGAAACAAGGAGCTGTGCATCCAGAGGTTCTGCCCAGGGCAAACACACGGCACCCACACGGATTTCACAGCTTAGCTGGCACAACTAAGGCGAGAGATTCCTCACTAACTGGATCCTCCCTCCCCGGACAGCAACACTCCAGAGGTGATTATGGAATGAGGGAACAAGATGGGCAGGTGGGGCATGGTGTGGAGCAGAAACCTGGGTTGAAAAGCCCCCCAGAGGACAGGGTTTCTCCTTTCTAAATGAGTCTCTGCATGGAAGAGCAGCACCTCTCGTACCAGACACTGCCACAGCCTGCAAGTCACCAAGGGAAGGGAGAGTGGAGGATGCACATGCTCAGCGGAGCCTCCTCCTCCTCTGCCTCCTCCAGCATCCAAGCAGCAGGGAGCCCCTTGGAACTGGGGATCTACCTCTACAGTGATGCATAGTGGGGCGACCTGCCAGCAAGAGGGGATCTGACCTGCTTATTGGGGAAGGAGAGAGGACTGTGCTCACCCCAGCAATTCAATCACGACTGGATCCTGCTTCCTAAAGGCTGGAGTCCACTGGGAATCAACAGCCCAGCCGTTTTGTCCCACCAGCCAACACGGGTTTCAGCTACTGACCAAAAGGGACACCAGGAACAGTCACAGACATCTCAGAGGCTCTGGAGGGGCAGGAGCACAGAGACTCAACTATACAGGGTGCAAAGAGTCCAGAGCCAGAAAGCAGCGCCCTGGGGAGAAGCTGAAGGCAGCTGTTACGTTGTGCATGGGCTGCTCATCTGGCTGGTGGCTGGGAAAGGACAGGGTGAGCCAGCGTGACATTCAGGGAGTCATTGTGCTGCACCAGGGACGTGTGCTTGTAGTGCAAGACCAGGTCCTTGAGGGAGGCGTAGAGGTTGTAGGGTTCAGCGAACCCGTAGCCTGTGGCTGTTTTGTAGATCACACAGTGTTTGGTGTCACCGTCCACCCTGCCAGGGACGGAAAGGACACGGGTCAGCAGTGGGACAGGGACAGCAGAGCACAAGCAGGCATCACCAGAGCAGCCCAATGACACATCTGGGCCACCTCGGGAGCCCAGCTTGATGCTTCCACCAGCTCCAGCATCTGTCGAGCTGGAATGCGGGAGCAGAGCCCACGCCAGCCCCATCCCAGCACATGGAGATACTCACACCACGGAGCAGGCGTAGCATCCCTTCTGGCTGCTCTCGCGGATCAGGAAGGTGCCGTCCCGCTTGCCACAAAGCATCTCTTCTGCCTGCAAACGGTTGATCTTCCCCACGTACCACGTTCGCTCCTCGTGGTGGGGCAGCTCCTCCTCATCATCCATCATGGAGTACTGGCTGCAGTTGAGCACAGGGAGGGGCAGACCCCCTCAATTTGGGCACGTGGCCCCCACAGCTCCCCTCCCACTGCTAGATGCGCCAGCACCCCTTCCGGCAGGGAAGATGCTCTCAGCTCCCAGGTAGGGAGATGGGATCAGCCCCAGCATACACCCCCCCCCCCCCCCCCCCCATCATAGGATCAACCAGGCTGGAAAAGACCTTCAAGATCATCAAGTCCAAACCTTTACCCCAGCACTGCCAAACCCACCACTAAACCCTGCCACTGAGGGCCTCATCTACACGTTCTCTGCACACCCCCAGGGCTGCTGATCCCAGCACAAGGCACACAGGGACACTCACTCCTCCGTCTCGTTCTTGATACCCAGCCACTCGTTGATTTTCTTCTGCCGGGCACCCTTCTGCGTCAGCCACCTGGGGAAGGAGAGGCAGAGCTCAGCGTGCCCAGGCCAGACGCCACTGGAGCAGCCATCACCAGAGGGCAGCAGCCGTGCCCGAGGCCGCGCGCTGCAGGGTTCATTCCTGCACGCAGCAGCCCACAAGCTGGTCTGACAAGCCCCAAAGCCCTCAAGGAGGCAGCCAGATGGCTGGGGGGGGGAGCAGGGCCCCAATCCCAGCCCTCCACGGGGGCAGGAGCTACGTACACCAAATACTGGTCCCGCAGTTTGCGCAGCTGCATGAGGTCTGGCTTGAGGCTGTTCATGCGCTTGTCGATCTCCCGGTTCTCCGAGGCTTGTTTCTTCAGGTCCTGCTCCAGCTTCATCTTGCTGTCATGGATTTCCGTGATGCGGGACTTGAGTTTCTCCGAGTTCATGAGGATCCTGGGAGAAAGAGGGGGGGGGGACGAGGCTGTGAGCCAGGGTGGGGGAGGCGGAGGAGGCAGCCTGCCAGCTCCAGCACACAGCTCGCTGCTGGAGAGACAAGGGCTCTGCGTGCCTCAGCTCTGTGCTGGGCCAGGAGGAGCTTCCAGCCCTGCAGAGCCCTTCCCCAGGCAGGGCAGCAGCACCCCCTGTCCTCACCGTTGCACCTCCTTCTCATTGCCCTCCCGCCGGAAGCGCTCGATGTACTCCTTGCTGCATTTCTCCTGCGTCTGACACTGCTCCTCAAAGATCTTGATTGTCTCGTTGAAGGCCTCAATTGCAGTCCTCTTCATCTGCAGCTCCTGAGGAGAAGGGAGGGGAGAGCTGAGGACAGGGGAGCACTGGGGCAGGTTCTGCCCATTCGCATCCTCTCTTTCCCCCTCCCCAAAGAAGCACTGTCCTCGCTGCAGCCAAAGTATCTCCCTCTTCAAAGCCCATTCTCAAGTCCAGCAGCAAAGTAAGGCAGGGGATGCCCAACCCCTGCTCCCCTCCGTGCCCAGCAGTGGCCATCAAGATGTCAGGGCAGCCCAGGGGGAAGGCAGTGCCTGTGTACCTGGGACGTGCGCGTGTACTCCTCATACAGCAGGTCGTACTCCCAGCTCTTGTCCTGGTACTGCTGGTGATAGACCTTCAGCTGCTCCCCGACGGCTTCCACGCTGTCCTCCTTCACCACTTGGTCCTGCCATACACAGAGCCTCCCTCAGGGCCTGCTCCTGCCTTACAGCAGCCCCTCTGCGAGGCAGCTGGTCCCACAAAACCCCACCAGTCCTGCAGGCTGGCTGTCACCCCACACAGCAACATCCCAGCATGGGGAAGAGGTGGACATCGACCTTTACCAAAGGACTGGGGATGGACGAGCAAATGCCCCTGGCCAGCACTGCACAGGCCTCACCTGCTGGTACTTGGAGATGGGGTAGAGCAGCCTGGTGTCCAGCTTGGCGTTGTACTGGGCCAGTGACTCGTGCCGGTAATGGGTGATGAGCTCCACCACCGAGCCGAAGGTGAGGGGCTCCGAGAAGCCGTACTTCCCTTCCCGGTGGAAGATCTTGATCAGCTTGTTATTGCCTCCCTTCCTGCGGTGACGGGAGAGGAGAGGACACTCAGCACCACCTTCCAGCCTGACAGCTTCTCATCCAGGCTGCTGTCAGCACAGGGACCCCCCAGCACCCTACCTGAGCGTGAGGGTGTATTCCCCCTGGATCTTGCTGGAGGCGTCGCGCACCAAGAAGGTACCATCCGGTGTGTCCCGTAGCTTCTCGTTCACCTCCTCCCTGCAAGGAATGTGACTGTTACAGCCTGTGAGATGTAACCAGAGCTCCCCTAGAGAACGCCATGGACAGGGCACCCGGGATGTGGGCTGCCAGCCATCCCCTTACCGTGAGATGTCACCCCAGTACCACTCGGCGTCCTGCAGGGACACGCTGTTCCCGTTGGCCAAGCTGGCTGCGCTGGGCTTTGGCTTAGGGGGTTTTGGAGGCAAGGCTGTAAGAGAAGGAGGAGGGAAGCGGGGCGAGCCCAAGTTCCAGCTGTCCACAGGCAATCCCTTGGAGCACTGAGTCTGCCTCCCTGCTGTGACTATCCTGGGAAGCCCCCTTGGCCACCACGCTGCGGGGAGCTGCTCCAGGCACATCCACAGCAGCAGATGAATGCCTCGAGGTGGGCTCCAGGCACAGCTGGGCTCCAGAAATGCCCTCAGCAACCCGCTCATGGGGGGCAGAGACTCCACATCCCCAGAGCACAAACCCCAGCGCTTTAGGCCCCAAGGAAGGGGCATCTCAGTACCTGGAGGCAACTGTTCTGGCTCCAGCTCCTTCGTCTGCAGAAGCATCTCCAAAAACAGGACGGAGAAGTCAGGGCTCAGCTCTGGGCTGCAGGGAGAGAGGAGCCAAGTAGGAAGAGCAGTTCTGGGGTGGGGGGAAACCTGGCACTGCTCCCGTGCTCCCTGGGCAAAGGGGCAGGCGGTTCATCCCAGCTGCCAGAGCCCAGGCTGACACAGAGGCAAGGCTCTGCCCTGGCTCTGAGTCCCACCTCTGTGTGCTGCCAGCAGTTTAATCCCCCGTGCAGCGAGGCAGGGGCTGCGGGCAGACCTGCTCTCACAGCCTGGACTCCGGGTCCTGCCAGGCACAGAGGCTGGAACCCAAAAGCCTCACGTACCTGGCGCCAGGCAGCCGGAGGAGAAGGGGGCCGAAGATCTCTCCCAGGGCCCGAGGGTGGAGGCTGTTGCTCTCGGCCTGCTGCGATACCTTCCCCAGATGCCGGAGCAGGAACTGCAGGGTGAGCGTGTTCTGGAGCGGGACCGCAGGCGACTCCAGGGCCAGCAGCAGCTGCTTCCGGCAATTCTCCGGCTGGGGAACCTCTGGGGAAGAGAACCAGACCCGATGGAAGAGTGGGGACAGGCAGCACCGCTCCGTGCTCCAGCTGCGGCACTGCGGGAGCGCCGTCAGCAGCAGGGGTCATGTCCCATAGGGACAGGACTTGCTTTAATACCCCAAACACATCCACCCCACACAGGCACCCATTCCCGAGTGATCCACCCCACACAGCCACCCATTCCCAAGTGATCCACCCCACACAGCCACCCATTCCTGAGTGATCCATCCCACACAGCCACCCATTCCCCAGCGATCCACCCCACACAGCCACCCATTCCCGAGTGATCCATCCCACACAGCCACCCATTCCCCAGCGATCCACCCCACACAGCCACCCATTCCCAAGTGATCCATCCCACACAGGCACCCTTTCCCGAGTGATCCATCCCACACAGCCACCCATTCCCCAGTGATCCACCCCACACAATCACCCACTCCCCAGTGATCCATCCCACACAGCCACCCATTCCTGAGTGATCCACCCCACACAATCACCCACTCCCCAGTGATCCATCCCACACAGCCCCCCATTCCCAAGCGATCCATCCCACACAGCCACCCACTGCCAAGTGATCCACCCCACACAATCACCCACTCCCCAGTGATCCATCCCACACAGCCACCCATTCCCGAGTGATCCACCCCACACAGCCACCCATTCCCGAGTGATCCATCCCACACAGGCACCCACTGCCAAGCGATCCATCCCACACAGGCACCCACTGCCAAGTGATCCATCCCACACAGGCACCCATTCCCAAGTGATCCATCCCACACAGCCCCCCATTCCCAAGCGATCCACCCCACACAGCCCCCCATTCCCAAGCGATCCACCCCACACAGCCCCCCATTCCCAAGCGATCCACCCCACACAGCCCCCCATTCCCAAGCGATCCACCCCACACAATCACCCACTCCCCAGTGATCCATCCCACACAGGCACCCATTCCCGAGTGATCCATCCCACACAGCCACCCACTCCCCAGTGATCCATCCCACACAGCCCCCCATTCCCGAGTGATCCACCCCACACAGCCACCCATTCCCAAGTGATCCATCCCACACAGGCACCCTTTCCCGAGTGATCCATCCCACACAGCCACCCATTCCCCAGTGATCCACCCCACACAATCACCCACTCCCCAGTGATCCATCCCACACAGCCACCCATTCCTGAGTGATCCACCCCACACAGCCACCCACTCCCCAGTGATCGACCCCACACAGCCCCCCATTCCCAAGCAATCCACCCCACAGAGCCACCCATTCCAAGTGCAGCCAGGGGAGGCCCTTACCCTGCAGGATGCGCAGGATGTCTCCGTGCACGGCCACTGGCACCACGGGGGAGGGCAGGTCCTGCAGGTACCTCCGCACCGCCTCACACAAGGAGTGCACGTCCAAGGGCTCCAGGTCGCCCAGGGTCCAATCTACCAGGGTACAGAAGTGCCATGGTGATGGGTGCAGCTCCGGGCCCCCACCCTGGACACCATCGCACCCCATCCAAGCACCTATCACAGGACAGGGCAGCCAACAGGAGGAGGATGCCTGGAAGTGATACCTGCACCCCAAAACCAACCTGCCTCTGGGAACCCAGGCAGGTTCCCCCCTCCCCGAGGATGGGGTAGAGCTCATTTTGGGTGCCCACCCTCTTTGCCCTCAGCCGTGCTGCAGTAATCCTGGGCATCAGTGGGTTAGGAGCTTTGTTCGCTGCTGCTGGTCGAGGCCAGCACCGCCTGACCAGCCCCACACTGACCCCAGTGGGGAAAACAGCTCCCTCAAACCGAGCCATCCCATGAACACGGGGCTGTCGGGACGGCAACAAAGCCTGTCCCAAAAGCAGCACAGCCAGAGCTGCCGGCACCATGCAGCTGGGGTTTGCAAGAACGTCTGTGGAAGGGGACAAGCCAGCACAGTGCTGGATGAGGCCCAAGCTCAGCCAAGCGGCAGACGGCTCCGGAGGCTCCCCGGTACAGCCATCGGCTGCCGGCAGAGCGGAGCCACGGCTCCAGCCCCCAAACTGAGCTCAAAGTCCCCCCCCCCTTGCTTCTGAGTGCTGTGACAGAGGCAGAGCAGTCTCCGGCAGCCCATCCACAGAGCAGGGCGCCTGAAGAGAGCAGGATACAAGCACAAGGTTTCACCAGCACCACGTCCCCCCTTTGCTCCAGGAATGTCCCGTCCCCCCCTTCCCCTGGGGATGTGTGGGGCCGGCCCCCCCGGCAGCATGCTGGGAGTCAGGAACTGCCTGGCCTGGCTTGCATTACTGCTGGCGCTGGCTCAGGCACTAATCTCCTCCATCTGAGCGCCTTCGCCTCCTCCCCGCGCCGAGCTGGTTCTTACCGGTTCTCAGCGCTTGCCTCAGTTCGGAGCCAGATGTCCTGTACAGCATCTCGCTGTCTATCCCTGCGGAAGCGGGGACACGGCGCTCAGCTGCCAGCACCGCCTGAACCAGGCCTGGAGGGGGTCCAGGCCAACCTCCTGCAGCCCCCTTGGCCCCCAGGACTCCCCATTCAGTGTCCTTGTTTCTCCCCCCCCCGTGGCATAGACACAGGCTGGAAGTGATTCCCAAACCCCAGCACCCATCCAGGGCATGCAGACCCAGCACCCGCACCCCAGGCCCCTATGCAGGAGGGCGCAGTGGGATCAAGCTTGGCTCTAGGGAACCTCCCCTTCTGCAGGCAGCTGAGCCCTGCACATCCCATGGGGCTTTTAAAGACAACCGCCCCCCGTTCTGCCCTCCCTGTGGGGTTCAGGGGTACCAACATCCCCCCTTACCTTTCTTCTCAATAGCTTCCACCAGCTTCACCAGCAGTGGGGGTGCGAGCTCGGGAGGGCTGAACTGCTCCTGCAGTTCCAGGAGAGGAGACCCTGGAAAGAGAGAGGGAGAAAGGGGTCAGCCCCAGCTCAGTCCCCAGCAGAGCCCGGCCAGGGCACAACCACCTCACCCTTAACAGCAGAATCCAAGAGTGAGGAAAGCCATGGCCCCTGCAGCAGGGCTGCAGCCCCTGCAAACACCGCACAGGGGCTGGGGGAGCCTGGGAGCCGGCTCACAACAAGCCTGGCCTTGCTCCAAGCCCCTAATGGGGTGTGCACAGGGGATCCCTCTTGCTCCTGCAGAGCCCAGGAGGCAGAGCCTGGGGGTAGCAGAGCTCCTGGAGCCCAGGCTGGGGTCGGTGCCTGCCCAGCACAGGGCTGGCAGAGGAGCAGGGCCAGGGGGCTGAGCTGTGCTTAATCCAGCGATTCAGACAGAACTCCATGTCAGCAAATTCCTGCTCTTGACTGCTCGTTTAACATGGAAACCAGCCCTCGGCCTCCCTCTGCCCGGGAGCCCACAGCCTCCCGCAAGCTGCAACAGGACACGGCACGGCACTGGGGTTCCTCTGCTCCCAGAGGGAGGATTTACAGCCCTGCAGCGGGTGGCATTTCGCTCCAGAGGAGCCGAAGGTCCCAGCTCTGGGCTCCCCAGTGCTGGAGGGTGATGCATGCCGGGGCAAGAGCACGCAGGCCCGGCCAGGCAGCTGCCAGTGGGATCCCTGCCGAAGGACGAGCGGTGCCAGGCCCTGTCTTGCATCCAGCTGAGCACCAGCCGGTGCGGGAGGCTCCTCCGGGACCCCCACGGTCAGTGCAGACACCGGACACGCTCCATTCTGGGGATGCAGAGCCAAAAGGCTGCTCCCCGTTGCGAAACACAGCTCTGTTGTCATGGATCTGACCTGAACTCGCCCGGTGTGGTCTTACCATGAGGCACAGCAAGCTGAAACCCCACACTGGCCCGAGCCTCCTGCACCCACAGCCTCACAGCGAGACAAAGCAGCCACAGAAAGGGGAGCACCCAGTTCTGTCTAAGCCTGTGCTGTTGGGGCAGGGGGGGAGCAATCCCCAACGGGAAGGAGCCCCTGGCCATGGGAAGGGGCCCAGCGTGGTGCTGAAGACCCAGGCAAGCTTCCAGGCTGGCAGCTCCGAGCCTGACCCTTGGGAAGGGCTGAAGGGAGAGTAAACAGTGGGGCAGCCCACGTGGCCCGGCCGGGAATGTGCTGCTTCAGCAGGCAGCAGCTTGCCTTTGCCTTTGCCTGCTCCTGCTCTGCCCAGCAGCAGCTCCCGAGCCCGCGGGGCCGCGCTGCCCTGCACAAGGCTGCTCAGAGCAGGGCCGGGGCAGCTGCGGAAATAGCAGCGAGCCGCATGTTCCGCTCGGCTCCTCCTGATGGAAGGCAAACAGCGGCAGCTCGTAAATCCACCGCTGGAACACGCCGGGGCTCCTTGTACCCCCAGGCGGGGGGGGACGACACGGAGGTGGTGCTGGCCCTGCTCCACGTGTGACACTGGGAGGGGGGTAAGGGATTCCTGTCAGCCAGGCTGAGGGGAACAGGGCAGAAACCCCAGCAGCTCTGAGCTTTGTGGGGCATCCCTGCACCTCCCAAAGCGCAGCCCGCAAGGAAGTAACACGGGTTTGGCTCCAATGCGGTTTCTCAGTTGCAAAAACACATCTCCCCAGCAGCATCGTAGCAGCCTGCACTGGAAAATAGCCCTTGGGTGTTTGAATTGCCACTCTGCAGGTCCCTGCTGTGCCCCAAATAGAGGCTGGCTGGGGGGGGGATGGACCCACAGGTGCTGGCACCCTCCTCATGTACCCTTGTACCTGACCCTCACTGTGCTCCATCCCCAGGCAGGATGCAGACTGGCTGACTTTGGGTTTCTTTCCTAACTGCATCTTTTCTGTGTGTCAGGAGCTTTGGAACGCACCTTCTTTCACAGCCCTGCACGGGTCAGCAGCTCTGACCATCCAGACACACCTCTGCCAAGCCTTGCTCGAGGAGGAGGAGGAGGAGGAGGAGAGGGAGTCCACAAAGGCTTAAATCCAGCTCCTGAGGGAGCACAGGGCTGGATGCAGACAAGGCCAACGCATCCTCTGCAGAGCACATCCCAGGCTCCCAAGAGGAGCAGCTTTCTGCGGGGTGACTCAGGTCAGCAGCTCTCGCTGCCAGCCCAAAGGCACTGCCTGACCACATTCCCAGCCCACGGAGCTGTTTCCACCCCTCTGGCTCCGGGAGCAGGAGCATGGGAGGCAGCTGTGGGGAGCTGCACCAGCCCTGCCACCCTGGTTTATGGGATGGGGGCTTCTTTCCATTCCTTAAGACCCCAGGGGTATTTCCCACAGCTAGAAGCAGCTGATGGGATAACCATGGCTTTTGGACAGAGGATGGGGAGGACACAGGACTGCCAGCCAGGAGTGTGCTCTGATGCCCACCAGCTCCTGCTGTCCCTAGTCCTCCTGAGTGCATCACGCAAGGTCTTCTGCAAGGCACGGGGAGGCAAAGGGTGGCTGTCACCCCTGTGGGCCACCTCAGAGCCCCTGCCACAGGGTTTATGTTCAAAGCAATAGGCAGCGGGCAGGCAGCTGCTGGAGCTCCACAGGCAGTGCCGGGCCATGGCAGCATTCCCAGCTCCCGGACCAGGTCCATGCCAAGCCCAGTGCCGGCTGGGAAGCAGCTGCAGGATGGCCCACGTCCTGCCCGAGGGTGGCTGCCCGGCCCCAGGGAGAGCTCTGCATCCTCAGGGAGGGATGGGTGCCAGGCAGACAAGCCATTAGCTCCAGTTCTCGGAAGGACTCTTTTAGACCCTGACTTTTCTCCTCTTGCCCAGAGACAAGCAATTGTGTGTCTCAGCAGGGCTGGGCGGCTCTTAGCAGGGAGCAATGGTGCTCCAGAGGCTGAGAGGTCGCTGGGAAGAGGTCAGGGCTTATTCCTAAAGAGAGGGAGAGGGGTAAAACCCTCAGCAGAGCAGGGGGAGGGACCAAGGACCCCAGGGATCCTGGCTAAGCTGCATGCCAGAGAGGGAGAAAGATCTTGGAGAGGCAGGAGTGGGACAAGGCTCAACCCAAGAAGTTGTGCTGAGCAAATTGATAAGCTGGAGGAACAACGTGCTCTTCTCTTGGCCAGGTCTGAATGTGAGCCCTGTCCTGGCTTCATCTGGGGTAGAGTCAATTTTCCTCCTAGTAGCTGGTGCGGTGCTGTGCTGTGGCTTTAGGCTGACAATAACAGTGATAACACACTGGTATTTCAGTTGTTAAGTAGTGCTTATCCTAAGTCAAGGACTTTTCAGTTTCTCATACTCTGCTAGTGAGGAGGGGAACAAGAAGCTGCGAAAAAGCACAGGCAAGACACCTGACCTGAACCAGCCAAAGGGATACTCCATAACCAGTATGCCCAGTATAGAAACTGAGGGAAGTTGGTTGGAAGGGGCCAATCACTGCCTGGGGACAAGCTGGCCATCTGTCAGTGGAGTGGTGAGCAACTGTACTGCGCATCACTTGTTTTCCTTAAGTTATTCCTCTCTTTTTGTTATCTCCCTTTCCATTATTATTATATTTGACTTGATTTCAATTATTAAACTGTTCTTATCTCAACCCACGGATTTTACCAGTTCCCCCCCCCCCCCCCCCTTCTCCTCCCCATCCCACTGGGATCAGGGAAGGAGCGAGTGGCTCCGTGGCACTTAGTTGCTGGCTGGGGTTAAACCACAACCGCAGCCACCACGATGGGGCAATCAACCCAGTGCTGCCCAGCAGAGCCTCTCGCAGCCCCTCAGCCACCACGTGTCAGGAGCAGAGGAGGGTGGGAGCACGCAGCAGGCCTTACCTTGCTCCAGAGCTTCGGGGAGGCGGCAGCCGCTGGCGCCCGGCGTGGCGGGCAGAGGCCTCTGCACTCGGGGCCGGTGCGAGGGCACCGAGATCTTCACCGGCCCCACGTACTCCACGTACGTGCCCGGGAAGTCGCCCTTCTGCTTGGTCCTCTCGTTGACACCCAGGATCCATCCGATCTGATTGGGGGTCTGCTCATCGCCGTCTTTGAAGCCCAAGGCTTGCAGGGCCCCCTTGCTCACCACCAGGATGTCCCCAGGCAGCAGATCAATGTCCTCCTCGCGCTCCTTGCGGTAGGGGTAGAGCGCACGGTACTGGAACCCATCGGTGCTGCCCATTCTCTCTGCTGCGGGGAGAAGGGCTCCGGACGGTGAGGCAGCACGTTTCGGGTGGCAGAGGAGGGATTTCAAAGGCAGGTCTCCCCCATCAGCACTCTGAATGTCTTTGCATGAACCAGCACCCCAGGAGCGTGGTCCGGGTGTCCCGGTGTGCTTAAGTGCAGCCCCTTTTCCTTAGCTTGAAGCCACGATTCAACCAAATGATGGAGCAAAGGGAGAAGGAGACAAACATAATCCAGCACTCGCGAGCGGGCATGCAGCAAAGAAACAGGAGATCAGGGTCTGCTTCACCAAAAAAGAAGCAGGTTTCTTGGAGTCCCAGGGGCAAAAGCACAGTGGGCTTCCAGCCCAGAACAGCGTAGGGCGCTACGTCTGCCTTCCCAGGGCCTGCAAAGAGAAGACAACTTGTTAATGCAAAGCCAGACACCTCTCACCTTCCTGAGACACCACCATTCAAATGAGGGGTTCATCTGAGCACCTGAGAGAGGCAGGACTCGTTTCTTTCCTCCCTACCAGCTGATGCTGAGCCCTGGATCCAACTGGGACATGCTAATACCAGTTTAGACTCCCAAAAGCAGGATTGGAGCCAGCAGCTGCAAGCAGGAATGCCACCTCCTCTCTTCCACAGTCAGGCACCAGCTCTGCATCTTAAGGAGGTTCACTCCTGCTTCTGCAGCTTACCCTCCTCGTAGCACTTATGCAAACATGAAGACAGCAAGTGGGACAAACCAGCCCTTATGCAGGAACTTGCATGCAGAAAAGAGTCACCCTGCAAGCCCCAGTTGGGAGGCTCTGAACAGCAGCCAAACAAACAGATTCAACCTTCCCTGGTTCAATCGATTCCATTTCACAGCTCACCTTTACATCTCCCCATGCAATCCCCCGCGAGGCAGTCTGCTGAAGGTAGCTGCCCACAGATGGAGCTTAACCAAGCCTTCAGTGAAAGGCTTTGCCATTCCCACAGAGCAGCACTTCAAAGCTTTGCTCTGAGCAAAGCAGCAGCATCAAGTGCAGGCACGGATTCCTTCCGCAGAGATGGCCTTAAAATCATCTTGAGGAGCCTTCAAGCCTGCTTTGAGCTGCTCCTCTGCCTTTCAGCTATTCAGAAATGGAAGAATCTGCTGCTTGCCCTGCCCAGAAATCCTCCGAAAGGCAGGAACCTGGGTTCCAACATGTTGTGGAAGAGATGGGTGAGCTGGGGCATTCCCAGCAGCCAGGCACGTCCTCTTTTTCCCATCCCCTCCCGGCCACACAGGCCAGTTTTCCACCTCCCCCAGGCAAATCCCAGCATTCCGGGTTCCCATAGGATGGCATGCAGCCCAGGACAGGGCCTACAAGGAGCTGGGGCAGCCAGGGACCAGCCTGCTCAGGGACACCCAAGGCCTGCTGAAACACTGCAGGTCCTGGTAATGGCTTGGAGCTGTTTTGGCCCAGAAACCACCAAACCCAGCTCAAACTCCAGTCTCCTCTGAAAGCTGTTAGTGAGCAGGAAGGTGCTGCTCAGGGCTGTGAGAGCCTCTGTGGAGGGAGGTGAGGAGCAAAGGGAGGGGGGACACTCGTCCCAGCAGGATCAACGCACAACCAAGCATGGCACAGAGCCAAGGCTGGACTATGCGAGATGCACCGGCACTGGTAACCTGCAGTCCTCCAAAATAACCCTTCTTGGACCCGCAACATGCTCCAGCTCACATCAGCTACAAACCCCTCTCCTGCACGAATCTGAGACCAGTACGAGCCCTCCGAGAGGAGCCAGCTCCATGGCCCCACAGCCAGGATCTGTGGGTTCCTTCCCTTGCCAAAGAAAGGCACAAAGAGGCCATGGCACACGAAGCCTATGCAGCAGCCAGGGCCTGCACCGGTTGCCTGTGCTTAGGCAACTGTCCCGGCTGTGCCATGAATGAGCCGGCGCTGCCCCCGGCGAGGGAAGACACCCGTGGCCAGGCTCTGGTGGCTGGGGAACAGGACTGAGCCTGATCCCGGTTGCTCGAGAGCTTCCCTGGAGCAACACCAGGCTTGCAGAACTCACGGAGAGACCCCGGGGAGGTTCCTGGTGTTGGCAGCGGCAGCACATCCCTGCACATCCCTGCACCACGCGAGCTCCCACCGTTCGGGGCTGGCGGCCGCGGAGAGCTCGCTGCAGAGCCCACATTCCCCCGATCCCATTTTCCCAGCCAGGAAAATATTACTTCATGATCCAGAGCATAAAGAGAGATTTATGAGCGGGCTGCCTGCCCGCCCCTCGCCCATCTGAGCGCTGCCTGTCAAGGTCCCACAGAGCCGATGGGCACTGCCTGCCTGCCAAGGGCCCGAGCGGCTGCTGGGAAAGACTCCGGCAGCTCCCAGACCCCGCGATGCACCCAGAGGCAGCAGAACCCAAAGCCCGTGGGGTCAGGGCTCCCTGGCAGGCACCTCCCCGGATTCCACCCGTGCAGCCCGGGGCCGGCTCCAGGCGCCTCAGACAAGCCAGTGCAGCTGAAGGAAGGACAAAACCTTCAGCCCTAGTGAACTTGTTCCGTGGCTTTTCAAAGCGGATCCGTGCGGAGGGCTGGGAAGCTGCTCCCGAGCACCAAGTCTCTCCAAAGAGCAGGTTCCCGCACCTTCTGCTGCACCGTGTGGCTCCAACAGCTCATAGAATCAGGGACTGGTTTGGGTTGGAAGGGACCTTAAAGCTCATCCAGTTCCAACCCCTGCCATGGGGACCCCTTCCACTGGAGCAGCTTGCTCCAAGCCCCTGCGTCCAACCTGGCCTTGAACACTGGCAGGGATGGGGCAGCCACAGCTTCTCTGGGCACCCTGTGCCAGCGCCTCAGCACCCTCCCAGGGAAGGGTTTTTCCTGTGTCTACCCTAAATCCTTCCAACCTTCTCTGTGCTGGGAAGGCAGAGACACAGCTCTGTGCCACCCTGCTCTTCACAGCCCAGTGGGTCACTGGGCACAGATGACTTCGAGCCAGCCTGGTCCTGGAGCAGCCTCACCTGCCTTCCTCAGGGGGATCAAGTGCCTGTGAATGCAGGTGAGGAACCCCCCCTGGAAACCCAAATCCACACGGTTCACGCTGGCACTGGCCTCTGCAGGGAAGCTCAGCAAAGCCCTGTAACAGCTCTCAGGAGGGAAGGCAGCGCAGAAAGCCCGGGACACGCACGAGCCTGTCGGCTGGAAGCACACCTCCGAGCCTGCCAAGAGATTCCAGCTGGGCCCAGCTCCAGGTTCGCTCAGCCCTCGCAGAGGAGCCTCGTGTGTCCGCGCTGGTGTGGTGAGCACTTGCTTGGGCTGCTCTGGCAATCCCAGGCACCAGCCAAGCACATACCTTTGGTAAATCTCTGTCAGCACCCAGAAACAAGCCCTCAATTCATTCCCTGCTGTCAATACTGTCTTTGTTGAATGCATGGGGTTGAAACAAAAACCACATTACGAGTCTTTTTTTGTGTGTGCCGAGCACAGAAATAAAAGCATCTTAACGTTTTAAATGTGGTTCCTGGGCTTTTAAACCCAGTTCCAAACGCAGTTCAAAGTGCAGCTTGACTCAAAGCGATGCTGAGCGTTCCTTTCCCTCCCGTGAGGCAAAAGAATGCATACAAATACTTAAAGGAAAATTATGCTTACGCCAATGTACCCAGCTCAAACCTTTCCAAGATCCAGCACGGCCTTAGCGAGCACAAAACTGCCCCCCAAAGTAAGCCTTGAACTGCAAACCCCTCCACGTTAACGGGTTGCAAACAGTGAGAACAAAGCTTTCCTTTAAGAAAAGCCAGAAAATGGGATGTATGCAACGAGGGATGAGAATAGAAACGACACGGGCCCGCCTGCCATGTGCTGCCCTATGGTGACAACTGCTGCTGCACTGAGTCCTTCTGACCCACACAGCCAGGCAGCTCTGCTGGCCCCATGCCCTGGCAGTGGCAGGAGCACGCCGTGGGTCACGCTGCACCCGCATGCAGCTGAAGCAGCGAGCAGGAGCCTGGCAAAGCCTGGTTTATACCGCGGGACAAACAGCACAGCAATTCCTGTGCTCCCGGGCAGCTTCCCAGGCCAGCTCCCTGCCTGGGAGCCTCACGAGGCTGGAGCTGCAAGCGAGGCTGTGCTGGTGGTAGCAATGGCAGGGAAGAGGCAGGGCCGTGCTGGGAGCACTGGTGGTTGCCATGGCACTGCCATCCAGCTCCTAAATGGGGAATAGTGGCAGGGAAAGCGAGTTCCATCGGGAGCCGTGCCCAAGCCAGGGCTGCTGCCCTGACAGTGACTGCACCGCAGCAGAGGCATGGGGCAGCTGAGGCCACTGTCACCTTTTTCTCCTCTTTTCTCCCCAAGAAATGCTTCTCATGCACCTGGCAGCAGAGCCTGAGGTTTAGCAGGGTCCTGGCCACGGCCACCAGCAGCCCTTTGCCACAGACAGAGAGCAGAGAGGTCTCAGCAACCTCTTCTCCTCCAAGGCTGGACAGTCCGAGAGCACCTCAGACAACCCAAGACTTCTCACTCTGTCCAGAGGCTCCTCCTGACAGGATTTTCCTCCTTCAGTTGAAGCTTGTCCTGTGCTCCCCACCTCAAACCTTCTCTTCCTCCCTGCAAAAGCCTTTTCCAGGCTGGCACTGAAGGGGGAAGGACCAGAACACCAACCCCACACTTCACTCCAGGCTCCCTTTCCACCAGCATCCAAGCAGCAAGAACACACGACTCCCATTATAAGAGCATTCCCAGGGCTGGGGTTAGGGATGTTGGACAGAAATAAACCCAGAAGCTGCATTTTGGCCACTTCCCTCAAAAATCCAGCTGAGGACATGGTAAAAAGCAACCCCCCCGAGTGCTCTTGCTGCGTTATCTGCTCAAAATCACCCTCCCCCGGGGATCTGGAATCCCCATGATGATTTATGAGCAGCTCTGCACAACACAGCAATCCCATGAAGTAAGCAACAAGGCGAGGAGCACCCACGTTAGCGGGTCAGCATCATTCGGGTCCTAGTTGAGAGGGGAGACCTTCCAGCTTGAGAAAGCCACTGCCCCTGCCTCTGCTTTTTCTCTTCCATTACTCAGTTCCTTTAGCTCCAAGCTGCGGCTCCAGCTATCCCCAGAGGAATTAAAAGAGCCCTCGATATTATAAATACTCTTTCTCATTGTAAACACGGCGCAGCACTCGGAGCGAACCGCTGGCGCTCCGACACGGCTCCAAACCGGTTCCAGAAACCACTCTGCTCCTTGCCACATTCCAGCTGAGCTTTCCCTTCCAAACCCAGAGCTTTTGTCCAGCGAGACCCAACTGCGGGCAGAAAGGGTTTTTCTATGTGCTTAAAACCTTGTTCTAGCAAGCGAAAACCCAAGGGGTTTGGGGCAGCGAAGGAGCACCAAAGCCTTGCTGCAAACCGCACAGCCTGAGCCTGATGTGCCCACGTCAAAGAGAGTCACCAAAGGAACCAACCCATGGTTTGGACTTTCCCACAACATGGAAGAGTCGATGACTCCAGCAGAGGCCAACCCAGCCTCGGGGACACACCAGCCCTTCGCACGGTAGGGAAGGGCGGGGGAATGGCCAGGAAAGCAGTGATTTAGGCTATATTTACTCAGCTGTCTCCATTCCCTGCTCTCACAGACAAAGTCACAGGGCCAGTTCCCCAGTGGCTCCAAGAGCTGCTCAGGAAATAAAGGCCGTGCATGAATGGGGAGGAGACGCGGCCATTCCTGCGCCGCGCTGGGCTCGGGTGCCCACAGGCACAATGCTGGGGCCACTCCAGCTCCTGCAGAGCTCATTCCAGACAGGTTCCCCCTCCTCCCGGGTTTACTTCCCATTGGGAATACCTCAGTTTGGGAAGTACGGGACCACGGGAACCTTCCTCTTCAAAGGGCTCAGAACCATCCACAGCATCCCAAGAAACACAGCGCACAAACCGCACTGGAAAACGGTGGGCTGGCCACCATCCTACAGCCAGGGATCGGGGGCAACTGTGCCCAGAGACGGCAAAGCCACAGCCACGCCAGGCTGGATTCCAGCCGAGCGGGAGCATCCCTGCACCACCCGACCTGGGCAGAACCACGGTGGGATGAGGCCACATCCAAGCCCCCGGCCCAGCCTGGATCCCTGCAGCCCCGACAGGCAGCGCTGCCCGCAGCAACGGGGGCTGCACGGGGGAACGGCACCGAGGTCCCCGCGGTGGGGATGGAGGCAGCCGGAGGGGGGGGACACCCAAGGAGGGGACAGGCCCAGCCCGGGCGCCTTGGGGCCGGGGGGGTAGGCCCCGGGGGATGGCAGTGCCCCGGTAGCGGGCACCCTGCGCTGGCACCGCCGGGGCCCTGCCAGGGCCGCCTCCCGATGAGGGGCCGCGCACCCCGCTCCCGTTCCCATGGCTCCTTCCCTCCCTCCTCCGGTCGCGGTCCCCCCGGTCCCGTCCCACCTCTCCGCCGGCCCCATCCGCCGCCGCCGCCCGGCTCCAGCCCGCTCCTGCCTCACAGCCCAGCGGCAGCCTGGGAAAGGACCCGAACGCCGCCGGAACGGCCCGAACCCGCCCCGGAAAAAGCCGAGAGGAGCTGGAGGGGAACGAACCTGCCCGAAGCCGAGGCGGCCCCGCCCCTTCCCCCGGCTGCCGAACGCGATCGGGACCACGCCCCTCGTCCGAGCTGCTCCGGAAGGAGCCGAGCGGCAGCCGGCACCAACCGGCTTTGGGCGCCGAGGGAGAGCGCGGCTGCGCCCCCTAGCGAAGGGTCGGAGCACGGATCGGGCCCGGCACCGGGACTGCACCGGGCACGGGGCACGGCACCGGGACTGCACCGGGCATAGCCCTGCACATAGGGCATGGCACTGGGCACCGGGACTGTACCGGGCATGGGGCACTGCACTGGGCACCGAGACTGCACCGGGCACAGCACCGGCACCGAGACTGCACCGGGCATAGCACTGCACATAGGGCATGGCACTGGGCACCGGGACTGCACCGGGCATAGCACTGCACATAGGGCATGGCACTGGGCATTGAGACTACACCGGGCATGAGGCACTGCACCGGGCACCAAGACTGCACAGGGCACAGCACCGGCACCGAGACTGCACCGGGCACCGAGACTGCACTGGGCATAGCACTGCACATAGGGCATGGCACTGGGCACTGGGATGCACCAGGCACGGGGCACGGCACCGGGACTGCACCGGGCATAGCACTGCACACAGGGCATGGCACTGGGCATTGGGACTGCACCGGGCACGGGGCACTGCACCGGGCACCAAGACTGCACTGGGCACAGCACCGGCACCGAGACTGCACCGGGCATAGCACTGCACATAGGGCATGGCACTGGGCACTGGGATGCTCCGGGCACGGGGCACGGCACCGGGACTGCACCGGGCATAGCACTGCACATAGGGCATGGCACTGGGCACCGGGACTGCACCGGGCATGGGGCACGGCACCGGGCACCGAGACTGCACTGCGCACAGCACCGGCACCGAGACTGCACAGGCCATGGTGAATGGCACTGGGCACGGAACTGGGCATTGGCACTGCACTGGGCTTGGGGCACTGCACCGGGTACCAAGACTGCACTGGCCATGCTGCACGGCACTGGGTACAGCACTGGGCATTGGGACTGCACTGGGCTTGGGGCATGGCAGAGGGCACCGAGACTGCACCAGGCATGGGGCATGGAACCAGGACTGCATCGGGCATAGCACTGGACATAGGGCACGGCACCGGGCATTGGGACTGCACCCAGCATGGGGCACTGCACGGGGCACTGAGACTGCACCAGGCACAGCACCGGCACCAAGACTGGACAGGCCATGGTGAATGGCACCAGGCACAGCACTGGGTATTGGGACTGCACCGGGCATGGGGCACTGCACCAGTCATGGGGCACTGCACTGGCCATGGTGCACGGCACTGGGCATGGCACCGGGCATTGGGACTGCACTGGGCTTGGGGCACTGCACCGGGCACCAGGACTGCACCGGGCACGGGCCACGGCAGCGGGCACCAAGACTGCACCGGGCATGGGCACGGCACCAGGACTGCTCTGGGTATAGCACTGGACATAGGGCATGGCACTGTGCATTGGGACTGCACCAGATGCTGGGCATGGGACACGGTGCTGGGCACTGGGACTGCAGCAGGCACGAGCAGTGCAGTGGGCACCAGGACTGCTCCGGGGATGGGGCACACTGGGCAGTATTGCCACGGACACAGGGCACTGCATTTGGCTCTGAGGTGGGCACTGGGCACTATACCCAGCACTGGCACCCATCATCTGGTGCCAGCAACACCAAACCCGCCCCCCTAGGCTGCAGACACGACGTCAGGGCTCATTGCAAGAAACAATTTTAATACAACATAAACCTTGTTGAAGGTAAGAGCAGAGCTGGGCGCTGTGCGGAAGACACGGCCCCCTTGGCTTTCGAGACAGTTTCCATTCAGGAATTCCTTTTCCCACTATATCCATGCCACTGGTGCACAGCCAAGCCCCCTTCCCACAGTGCTGGTGTGCAGGGGGTGCCTGATGTCTCCCCACATCCCCGCTGCCTTCCCAGACCTTTGTACAGACAATAGAGGAAGAAGCAAAGGAAAGACCGAGCCGCTCTGGCTGCTCATTTGTTGGCGTTAAAGGGCACCGGTTTAAACGGGAGAAACAAGAGACGGGACCTGGCACCAACCACAGGCACACAACATAATCCAACGCGCTGCTCCAGGGTAGGGAATGTGCCCGTTGGTGGCGGCACAGGGATGCCCGATGCCCAGCACCAGCACCAGGGCAGCAAACGGCAGCACGGGGGGGGAAGCTGGAACATGCACTATCAAATGGGAACGTTTATATCATAGAAAACAGTAGAAATGGGAGGGAAACGCCGGGATGAGCCGTAGTTTTGTTGGATAAAAAGCGACGGGGGGGGGGGGGGGGGGGGGGATGGAATTCCAGATGCCAAATGAAGCAGCAGCACAGGCGCTGCCAGGAATACTGGCTTTTTATGGATATCTCTATGCACTGAGCGATGGCCACCACGGAACGTGGTGGTGGAAGAGATGCAAAGAGCAAAGCCAACCCTAAAAACCCCATTGAGATTTGCACCCGGTTGCTGCCCCCCAAGGGGAGGTCTCTGCTTTTCCCACCTGGAAGGGCTGATGGAGCTGGGGGGCTCCAAAAGGCTCTGAATAAACCAATTAAAACCTTTACATCCGCTCTCCTCTGATGAATAAACCATCTGCATCACTGCATGATGAACCCTATGCAAATAAAATCACCCCTCTGCATCCCAGCTGGGACTGCGAGTACTGGGGAATGTCGCTGTGGGGTTGGCTTGGGCTTTTTCATTTAAACTCCTACAATTCTCCCACTCCACACCCCACCCCACCCCCCCAACTGGGGTTTCTCGGGAGATTTGGGGTCTTTCCAGCTGAAACTGAAGTTAAAAAGTGGGGAAAAGCGAGCGGGTTAGAAAACAGCATGTGGTCAGGATGGGAACTGCATGGAAAAGCCTGGGACACCCCCCCCCCCCCCCCCCCCGCCCTCCCCGGGGCCGTGTGGGACCCTGCGCCGGTCCTGCACTGCCCGTTTAGCTTATAAAAAGTAATAAATTAATTGAGGACTCTTTGCATCGAGTCTTTGCTGTACACAAAGGTCGGGGCCAGCAAAGCTCCCGCGTCTCTAGAAAAATAAGAGCATCTCTCGAGGGGTACAAAAAGCCTTCGGGGGAGCCCAAGTGCCAGGGCACAGCCACAGCCCGTCCGCGATGGCTCCAGGGATGTTCGCCATGGATACACCACAGGGGATGGGGATTTTCGGGAGGCGGTGGGATGCTGCAGGGATCCTGAACCCTCCTGGCGTGGGGGCTCAAGGGTGCTTGGTCCCGCTCCACGCGCTGCTCCGGGGTGCTGGGTGCTGAGCACCCAATGGCCCCTGGCCCCGCAGGGGTTGCCGGGGGCCGGCTGCTCCCTCTCTGCAGTTCCAGTGCTGCTGGGAGCCATGGTCCGGATGCTCGCATCCATCCCGCCACCGCAAGGTGATGCTGCTGTTGGGCTCCTCGGCATTGCGGATGGGGTAGGAGCCCTGGCATTCCCATTCGGCCACCGCCAGCTCCTGCTCGTCGCTCTCGGAGCCCTGCACCGCGATCTGTGGGACCGAGCTGGGCTTTGGCTTCTCGGTACCCACCCCCTGCCCGGCTTCGCCCTTGCCACCGTCTTCACTTGCCGACACCGCATCCGACTCATCAAAACTCACTTCTTGAACCGCTTCTTGCTTCTTGAAGGAGTCCCGGCGCTCCGAGAGGTTCAAGCGTCGCATGACCACCACCTCCTGGTCCCGGTCGTGCCTCTCCGCCAGCCGGGAGCTGGCAGCGGGGTGATAACCGTGCTCCCCGGGGTACCCCGGGGCTTCACCCTCCCCGATGGCCTCCCCATCCATGGTGGGCATCTCCAGCCCCAGCTTGCGGCCACTGCCGGTCTTCTTCTCCACCAGGATGGTGACGATCTCAGCTGACTGGACACGTTTGAGGAGCGGGGAGCGGGGGCAATCAGCACTGCGGGGCCGGGAGCTCTGACGGACGATGGTGGGGGGGGACAGGGTCTTCCCCTGGAAGGAATGAGGGGTTTTGGGGTACCCAGGGAGCGGAGATGGGGAGCGTTGGGGAGAAGGTGGGCGCTGGGAGGAGGAAGGGGTACAGGCGAGGGGCGAGGGGGGGATGCTGCTGGTGGATTTGCGACGTCCCACTTTGTAGCGTTGCCCACCCAGTTTGGGTGCCAGCCCGTGCAGAGAGCTGGGGCGCACATGGCCGGCGGGTGACGTTGGGGTGCTGGAGGAGGGAGAGGTGCTCTGTGGGGACACAGCATCTGCAGGACAAAGAGAAACAGGTCAGCGTGAGGGACGGCGATGGGGGGCACACGGCAGCCACACCGCGCTGCCCCAGAGCAGATATCCCGTCTTGGATGAGGTTGGGGTACCTGAGGGCAGGTCGGGAGCGGGGCTGCGGCAGGGAGTGGGGGGACCGGGGGACACGCTGTGTGTGGGGGACTCCGGAAGGCTCTCGCTGGAGGACAGCGAGTGATGGAGGCCCGAGGAGTAGCTGCGGCTGGTGTGCAGGACCGACGACTGCTTGGAGATCTTCTTGAAAAGGGATTTTCTCCTGGGGAGGGGACACACACAAAGGGGTGGTGGGGAAAGGAAGAGCCCTGAAAGCTGGTGGCCCTGAGTCTGCCAAGCTGGACACCACAGTATGGCAGAGCCAGAGCAAACCCCCTCGGTACGGCACACACCAGGACAAAGGCCGTTTTATCCCAGCCCAATTCCACCCACCTCTCCTGGCCGTCCCTTTTCCTGCTCTTCTTACTCCTCCGCGCCATCCTGGTCTTGGAGCTGTTTTTCCGCGCGGGGCCGATTTTGATGGAGGTGTTCTCCAGGGCCGTGGTCCTCAGGGCCACTTTATTCCCACTCTGAGGGATGGGAAACGAATCACTGCAGCGCGCTGGATCCAAGCACCGGATCCAAACCAGCTCCTGCCTTGGCTGCTGGTGGAGGCAATGCCGGAGAGCTGCTGGATGGATGCACCGGTCCTGGGCAAGCAGCGTGGCTCTG